TATTGAATAGGTTATGATTTTACAATAAACTTATAATGAAAAGTATATAAATAGATATTTTGAAAATGACATAAAAATATTATATTATGATCTAAATAATAATATCATAATTTTGGTTATAACATATCTCTTGCTTTTTTACTTAAGAGAGTAAAATTAGGGAAAGTATTGACTGCTCCTCCATCAACAATGATAGTTTAACCAGTAATATAACTTGCACAATCAGAAGCTAAGAATAAAGCCCATGGAGCAATATCATCATTAGTTCCTGCTCTTTATAATGGTAATAACTTTTCAAAATCTTCTCCAAATCCTGACTAAAAATGATCTAAATTAATTAATTACACTATCATCCATTCTTAATCTCTTAAAACCTTCAGATTTTTCAATAGCTCCAGGTGCAATACCAACAACTCTAATTTTTTTAGGTCCTAATTCTACAGCAAGATGTCTTGTAAGTGCATCTATACCTGCTTTAGCTGTTCCTGCATGTGATTAAAGTGCCACTCCACAATGTGGTAGAGTTGTACTAATATTTATTATAACACCTCCATTTTTAGACATCCATTTACCTACTACTGCTTTACAACACTATTTATTATTCAAAATATACATGGAATGTTCCAAATGTATCTATTTCCATTACAGATCTAAATGCATTAATACTCATCATTTCAAAAGGAACTAAAAAATTTCCAGCTGCTCCATTCACTAAAATGTCTATTCTTCCCCATTTATCTAATGTATATTAAACCATTGCTTTCACTTATTCAAATTTTCTAACATCACAAGGAAAATAAGCAATATTTTCATTTCCTGATTCTTTTGCTAATCTTATACATGATTATTTTAACACTTCCTCTTTTCTACTTGTTATTAAAACTTTGCATCCATATTTCAAATACGCAAGACTTATACCATAACAAATCCCTGTTGCTCCACCTGTTACTATTGCTACTTGATTTCTTAAAAAATCTTATTAAAAAGTTTTATTCATTTATTCAATTATTATTTTTTTTATTTTTTCAATTTCATATTCATATACATTTTTCATTTAAAAATAATTATCTCTTCATTTTTAATTTTGTAGAAATAATTGTATTCAAGCGAACTAATTTAACAAAACCCAATATTTATTTACTATATTAATTACAATATCAATAATCATGAATTAATAATATATTAATTTAATAGGTTCATTCAGAAAAAATGATAAAAAAGATAATATTAATTCAAATAAAATCATACGATTTCGCAATCACAGACTTTAAGTGAACTAATCATACATTCAAATTAAAATAATACTTAAACAATCAAAAATCAATCATGTTGTTATCAAATTATTAATTATTCCAACAATTAAGTATAAAGTAATTTTGTAAATAAAGTTAGAAATCTTGATATGTTTTCATTTTTTATTCCTTTGATTACATTTAAGAAGGAATACACTTAACAATTGTGATTGATATTATATAAGAATAGATTAGTAGAAATTTATGATTTCAGTATTTCCTATATCACTGACTAATTTCTAGATGAAGAGTAAGGAAATCGAGATATTTTTGTATGTAGAATTTGACAAACATATTTAGTTTTATTAATATTAACAAATAATTAAACTTATTAATAATGAATATTCCACGATATTTGTTGAAATTTGTATTATTAACCTAATATGAATTTTAATTATCAAATTTTGTAATTCATTATTACAAATAAATGCAAGACACATACACATATTAGGTATTGTCTAAAAATATTGTTAGATTCTGAGAAAATGCAATGGTAAAGTTATTATGTAAATTGATGAACACCTATTAGAGATAATAAATGCTCATCTTACTATTAAACCTCAATAATAATAAACAGAAGTACCATATTCAATAAAAAAATAACACAATTTCTAACGTAGAATTGTACCTTTCTTTATGAACTAATTTATGCACTGGGCAGATGAAATGGGATATAAACAAGTTGATGGTTATTTAAGAGCAATCCATAAAAAAAAGACTTCGAAACAATAAAAGTTTGAGTTAGGAGACTTGAAAAAACTATTTGGAGGAATCAATCCTAGAACAAAGATCATATAATTAGAAACATAACACAAATGGATTGAATTCCTAGGAACATAAGCTGAAATTTGTGTGCTTATTAATAATAAGATTAAAGATTAGACCACAAAATAGATGTACATCTAAGCTATAGAACAATTAAAGGAATAGCTGCATAAGGAATAGCCTTATGACAAATTTTTAAGTCTATCAAAAAAAGATGAACTTAGAGAAGACTCTATAAAGGAAGAATATTCAAGTGGTGAAGTTCGTACTGATGAGTATGCACCCACTTATTATTAAGATCCATATACTTATTTAAGTTGTGCTTACAATAACGAATTTTGATTTTCTTCTCATTTATAATTAACAAATTTATGACATCATCTATTACATTTAATATAATATAATATAATGATGTATTTAATTGGTATAAAATAAATTAAAATTCAATCCTCAATTTTTATTGATATCAAACTATCAGAATTTCTTATTCAATCATTTTAAGCATCAGCTTTAATTCTCAATCAATAAATAACACATTTATAATTAAGAATGAAATTAATAAAGTTTACTTATAATGATGATAAAACAAAGTTTTAAATTATCTAGAAATAGTTTGTCTTCTAATGTTTCGAATAAATGATGATGCCTTTTAAATTAATCATAGAGTTTTTTGATTAAATTTCTTTACGCCAATTAAATCAATATTTAATATTTCTTTATTAGTAAAATGAATAAAAATGTTTTCAAAAAAGGGAGGGAATGAAAAAAAGATGATGATATTTTATATAAGAAAAATTAATTATGGAAATGTAATTAAAGGACAAATAAACTACGAAAGAATATTAGATATATCTATTCCAATATTATTGAAGGTGTGTTTTTTTGTAAATTTAATGATTTCAACATATCTTTGTGATTTATACATTATGCAAAAACAAAATAAATAAAGTTATTTGGTTAATAGATTCATTCTGTATTTTATAACAATTAAAAAATCTTCTCTTTATAAATTTTTTCTTGATTTGACCATTATTCTTCTTTTTCTGTTGTTTGTAATTCTAATCTGGCAATTTGATTTTTTAATTGTTCAATAAGAGTAGCTTTAGAATTTTTTTCTAATTCTAATAATTAAAATGATAAATCTTTGATGATTTGATTTTTTTTTTCAATAGTTCTTTCATATTATTCTTAATTTGAGATTGTTGATTGATTAAGAGGGTTTTCAGAGAGTTATTTATATCCTGATTATGATTATGTAAGTTAATTTTATTTTTTAAGTTATTCACCACTTTGTCTAATGATTCTTTTTAAGTGTTAATGTTCTTCGATAGCTCTATTATAGTTTTCTTGAAGTTCATCATATTTTTGTTTCCAAAATGATAGTTCTTGATTATTATGATTAGAATTAGAAAAAGTGGGTATATTATTATCAAGTTATGGTTTTCTGAATTTAGAATCAATTTTGATATGATTATCTAATTGTTCTATTTATTTTTATAACTCTTCTTCTTATTAAGTAATCATTTCAGTGATTTCTCTAAAATTGTCATTATCTTCAATTTATGGAGTAGGAAGAACTTATGTTAACTTTTCTTATGAAAACTTCTCACCAAGTTACATGAATTTTTAGGTAAGATTGTCTGATGGTTATTTGGGTATCTATTATTGATTAGCTTATTCATCTATTTTGGTAACAAGTACAAGACTTTTGAATTCTTTAGGAGGAGATTAACTTCTTGCTCTAGTAGTTCTATTTGGAAATTCCATTTTACGAGTATTAGAATTTCTAGCAGTTTATGGAACTTATTAATGAATGGTAGTATGTGTAGGAGCAGGCGTTGGGATATTAATTTGAGGTAATTCCTAAGATTCAAATTATGATTGTAATGGTTGTCTCATTAGTCGATAGAATAAGGCAGCACGTTTGTCTGTTGTTGATGTTAATGGCTTTTTGACTTTTTATTCTTGATCAGTTTCACAATTAAGGAAGTATGCTAAATTTATTATACAATCTCCTAATTAGTTACCTCCTAAATAAAATAAAAATTTAATCTAAATATAAATGATTGTATTATACATTTTAATCAAGATAGACTCCATCTTTATTAATCATTTTCTATTGAAACTCAATTATTTAATCAATTGGTAATCTACATATATTGGAAGATCTTTCAGGATTTCCAATACGCATTTTATTAATAATAGTTTATGCAGCAAGTGTTCCTCTCTTTAACATGATTGATAATTCATATTATTATTGATCAAATTTAGAGCTGAACTCTAGATATTGGAGTATGAATTTGAAAATATTTGTTAATTCATTATAAATTTTAATGAGTGATCACGAAAACTCAAATATCGAAGAGGTCATTACTAAGATTAAAACTTTACCTTTACCTGAGAGAGTCAAAGCCGTAGCACTTTATTATCACTTGAAACGCAAACAACAATATGAAGAAGAGTTAGAAGAGCAAGTATAGAAACTTACAATTGAATATGATCATTTGAATCTTCCTCTTTATTAGAAAGTAAGTATATAAATTGTATTTCATTAAAAAGTAAAATGAATTAATTCTTGGATAAAGAGCTGCTACAGATATTGAACTGTCTAATGTTGATAAATTTTTGAGTGAAGCAGAGAAACCATTAGTAGCTGAGAATAATACAGCTGAACCTATAGATGATTATTGGTTTAAGGCACTCAAAAATTCAGTAGTAATAGGTATATATATAATATATATTTATATTAGCTGATGTATGTTAAGATAATGAGAAGGATTGGGATGTATTAAAATCACTCAGTAAAGTAGAATTAGATCTTGAAGAGAATAGTCATAATTTCACTATTAAACTAACATTTGCACCTAATGATTATTTTACAAATACAGTTCTTACAAAAAGATTCATTTTTGAAAAATCTGGTGAGACTCCAGTAAAAAGTGAATCAACTCATATTGAATGGAAAGAAGGAAAGAATGTAACTTAAAAGAAGGTTTCAAAGAAATAAAAAAATAAAAAAACAGGTGCATCAAGAACTGTTGATAAAGTTGTTGATAATCCTAGTTTTTTTGGATTCTTTAAAGATTTCGACCTTACTAACAAGAAAGAACTTGATGAAGAAGAAGAATAAAAGGAAGAAGATTTAATGAATGAACATTTTGATATTGCCACTGAATTTTTAGATTCAATAGTTCCATGTTCATTAGAATTATTCTTAGGATTATAACCAGAAATGGCTGAATTAGATAATGATGATGATGAAGATGATGAAGAGGAAGATGATGATGATGATGAAGAAGATGATAAGAAGAAATCTGTATATATTTATATATTAATATATTAATAGAAAAGAAAGAAGTCAAGTAGTAGTAAAGGTGATAAGACTGATAATAAAAAAGCCGAAAAACCAGAATGCAAATAATAATGATCTATGTGTTGATATAATTATAAATTAAATAAAACAAACAATCTTAAAATGCAAGGATTATTACAACCATCTCAATAAACTCTTCTTGTACGTTCACCAACTGAAGGATCTCTTAAAAGTTATTCCAGACATGAAAGTAAAGCAAAGAAAAGAATACTTTATAAAAATAAAAAAGGTGACATTGTTGACCCTTCTGAAAAATCACAAAGATTAACTCAATATTCATAATAAACACAATCTTATAAGTCTCGAAACAATACACCAACTTTATCTGAAACCACCAAAACTTAAACTACTGGAGTTTTTGATCTACTACCTATTGATGATCCAATTTGGTTAGAATTGATTCCTATTGATATCTAATAAGATCAAAACTTTAATCTTGAAAAATTAATCAATGAAAATCAAGAGTACTTTGTTAACTTAATTGGATTGTACATGTAAGAAAGATAATTTAATCGAATACAAGAATTGAAACTTTCATTACCTAACAAAAAACAATCTACTTATGATTCGGTTTTCAAAAAACTTCAACCTTTAGATTAATCTAATTTTAATATCAAAATGTATGATTAAGTCCCATAACCTTAATCACTTTAATTATAAACACAATATGAAGTAATTTATTCATTCATATTTCAAGACATCTTATCGTACTCCTAAACCATAATTTTAAGATAATTTCAAACCTTCTTTTTATAAAGATCCATCTGAAATGCTAACACTTACAAGTTATAAATAAGATTATATGAATTGGAAACCATCTCTTACTGAAAGAGTTGGACCTTAAAGAGGAAATAGTACAGGTGCACTACCCTTTCTTGGTAAAACATCCTATCAAGATAACTTTAAAATTACTCATTGTGAACCTACAGAATCTGCCAAAAAAAAATCTCTGTAAACTTTTATATCTCATTTTATCTTTAGAGGACCCTTTGCATCCAGTAATTCCATGATCTTCAAAGAAGCTTTATCGAAAATTCATTATCCTGCATACTCTTTTGAAGATCTACCTTTAAGAAAATAAAATAGTAACCACATCTAAAGCAATGGATCTTATGATGGTTAATTTAAAACTACATTTAAAAAGTTTCAAAACATTCTTTTATATTAGCTCCTTCGCACACAAAGTACCTGAGCCAATTATTCAAGATAGATATTGGAAATAAAAACTTATACAAAAAATTTTAGAAAAGAAATAAATTTGATCATCAACTATGAATATTTTATTCATTTTTGTTATTTATATAAACAACTTTAATTAAAAACTAAATTTTATTAAACATAATATACAGAAGAAATATTCTTTCTCAAAAATGCTCTCTGTATTTACACTCCCTATTTTGCTGTAATTAATCATTTTTTTTGATATTTCTATTTTATTAGGCTTTATCTTCATTTTACTCTAAACATAATTAGCTATTATTTTGATTTTTTCATGATCAACTTTTTTCCCTTTCACTCCTAATATTCATACGGATTTATTTTAAACAGAATATACATACTGTCTTTGATTTTTACACTATTGTTTCATTTTTTTGTGGCTACTATTTTTTTTTGAATAATTCTAACAAAAATCACAATAATTTTTTTGAGAAAAGCTTAATAGGCAATCCACTAAATAAGAATATTTTATTTAAAGATAAATTTAATAAATACCTATTTCATAAGAGTGAAATCAGGCCCATTAAATCTTGATGAATTGTACAGAAAATCTAAGAGAAAGGGCTCCATTATTTACAAATAAACATATTCTATAAAAATTTCATTTTATTTTTATTTACTAATTGATTTAACTTATTTATGTCTAATTTAAATTACTTAATTATATAATTTTATTAATAATCTGAAAATTTTAATTAAATAAATGAATTGTCTTAATAATTTGCTAACTATTTTTAATATTTTAAAATTTTAGTTGAATTTCTCTTTATCTTTAAATAAATTTTAATAATATATATTTAGAGATATCATTTTTAAACTTTAATTTTATAACAATAAAATTTACTTTTGAAGTTTTAATTGATTATTTATTCTCAATTTTTTCTTTTATTTTTGGACTTTAAAAATAATTTATTGTCTATAAATATTCAATTAATAAGTAAAATCTAAATGCTTATGATGAATACTGGACAAACCATATTCTTAATACTCTTCTCCAGTGTCCAACTAGTACTATATTTTGATAACTTTAAGGTAAATAAAATATTATTACAGATTTCATCTGAATTCAATATGGCACTTTTTAATTGAAATAGATATAGATTAATCAAAGCTATTTATATTTCTTTACATCTGAATCTTTGATGTTAGATATTAAATGCTTTACAATCTGGTCAATTATTGTATAATGTTATGAATACTATTTTAGTATTTTTATATTTCCTATTCATAATCAAGGGCTCTCTGCAACTTTTTGCGATTGATAAGAGAGAGAATAAGAGATAAGATTTGAGTAATCTTTTGGATTGACTTTCAATTAATTGAAAAATGCAAGATTCAAAATCAATACCATATATAAATTATTTCTAAACTAAAATTTACTCCAATATTGAATATTTTCATTTTAAATTGGTGAGTAGATTTATACTAAACTTTTCCTACTCTAAACTTTATTCCAAACATAGAATTCTTGGCTGATGTCCCTTCATCAATTTTTTTCTTCCCACAATTGCAGGCAACTTCTGCTTTACATTCATATGATCCATTGCCGATAATTATAGCTGATATAACTTAAGACAAATATATCAAATTTTAATTAATACTTTTCTAACAAATTAATCAAATTAAATGTTAATTTTAATATTAGTAGAAAAAATAATTATTATTTAGATTCACTTTATTTATATAAGAATTTTAATTAATACAATTTTAAATTAAGTTGTAATAAAATTAATATACTTAATTCCTTGGAAATATTCAAGAATTACCCATTATTCAAAATCGTATTTCTATCAAATTGAAACCCAATAATTTAATTGATTACAATATCAACTCCAATTATATTTATCGAAATAATTCCTTTTTCAATTATTTATATCATTCTATCTTTATATACTTACTATTTGATAAAAGCCTTTTCTTTTTTCAGAAAATATTTTCTAAATTTTCAATTTCATTATTTAGATATAATTTTATGTCTTTAAAATTAAATATTCTATAAATAATAAATATCTCTCATATTTAGTTGACTTAAATTCTAATAAAATTTTGGCTTTCATTTAATACAAATTATAATTTTTTTTTAAGCAAAAATAATAAAAAGTAGGTTTTTATTAAGAAATAAATTTTATTACAATGTAATCAAGTCTTCAAAAATCTTCAATTATCAAAAGAAGCACTTTTTTGAATTAATCCTAAGCTTTTACAACAACTAGTCGCCCCAGTTCTGCATTTAAAGATAATAGTGATAAAAAAGAATTAAGAAGGTATATTTTTATGTTTTATTTATTAGATACCCTACAGAATGGGTGGAATAAATTGATAACAAATCAGATAATAAATTTCATCACACAATTATGAATAAAAGCAAAGAAGATCATAATCCAAATTTGGCATCACCTAGTAAAATTTTTGGAGTTTAAGAAGGGTAATTAGTTTATTTTATTAAAGAAACAATCCAAGTAGATTTCATACTTAGAATGATGATATAGTATCATCATTTAGAAGAAAGAATTAATCTCTTGGAAATTTGGGAAGTTGGTAATTCTAATCTCCTTCTGCTTAATCTATCGTTAAAGATAATAATAATAAAAATACTGCTCTTTCTTTCTCTAAAAGACTTGATTTAGCAGTTCCATTATCTGAGCTATTAGAAATCTCAAGATAATTAGATTGTTCTCAACCAGAAGAAATTAAATTATTATCAAGAGGCTATGTTAATGAACTTTTTTTATTATCCTAAAAAATTGAAAGAGCACTTAAGAATATCAATAGATGAATAAATAAAATCTATATGAGTTTATTTATTATTATTTCAAAAAATTTATATCAAGAATAACGCTATTCATTTTTTATATAATTTCTTTTTTTAAAACTTATTTAACTTTAAGCAAATGCTTTAATATCTTTAAAAAATATAGTAATATTGAGAAACTTAAAAATTCTTATTTCTTTTATAAATACATAATATAGTATTCATAGGTAGCTGATCAATAAAGATAGTTAAAAATTACTTTATTTGGAAATTATTTTTTTAATAGATTTACTATATACAATTTATTCTATTACAAAAAATGATTAAATCAAATTATTTTCATTAAATTTATCTTATTTACAAAAGATACTAAGCATTATTTTCTTTAATGCTATCATTATTTAATTATTGTAGAAATCAGTGATTACGTAAGATAGAGTTATTTAAATACTCTTTATTAAGATTAATTTTTTAACTCTTCTACATGACTTTTTTTTAATGAATATATATAAATGATTAATTTCTAATTATTTTAGCAAACTATCTAACAAAAATTCAATTTAAGATTATTTTATTTGAATACTTAAAAGTTTTTTTATGTTAAATATCTGTAATTATATATACCATAGAAAATATTTACCAATTTTTATTTAATTATTTAATCTTATTTTCATAAGATAAAGAAGTTATTATAAGAAAATCTGCTAAGGCATAAGTATTTAAAATTCTGTTCGAATAAAAAATAAAAAGAAAATGGAATATTTTAATTGGATCGCTTCAAAATAGGAAAAGTGATTTAATTGATTTTTAAAGATTTATTTGATTCTATTTCAGCTGCTTTTGAAAATATAGGAGATTATGATACAGATGCTACTTTTTTGTAAGAAGCCAAACAATAGCCACCTCAAGAAAAGGGATTTTCTATATTAATTTTCTATAATAATCTCAAACTCTGATTTTATGAAAACAGAAATAATTAAACACATACTAAAAAGTAATTTATTTTCAGATGAAATTCTATTAGAAGAAAATCCAGTAATAAAATAAAAGAGAAATCTTTTGACATCAGAAAAACAGAAGACTACTTTTGTACTTTGAAATCAAGTATCAATATGTGTTATTCTAGGATTGAGCTGTTTTGAAGGAGTCAGTTAGCTAGGTTTCTGAAACAATATAGACAAAAATATATTGAAAATCTTAAAAGTATTAGTTTGGTTTTCGAATAATAATAAAGTGGTTAAATTTTGGTTAATTCTTGGATGTTTCAAAATATTAAGAAAATTGGTTATAAGGGTGAAAGACTAATTTATTAGATAATAACCATAAAGAATAAAGAGAAGTGATTTTATTGTAACCGATTGATATTTGTTTTTAAAAGAAATTCTTTAAAGTTTCTTATTTTAATTAATACATTCAATTAAATAAGTAAAAATGTAAGGAACTGGATAGGGACAATGTTTTGTGAATTCTTTTTTTGATTGAAAATTATGATTTTATGTTTTTTAAGTTTAGTTTTTTTTGATTTTTGATTCTAATATAAATTATATTTTACAATAAGTCAAAAAAAAACTAATATAAATATATATTAATTAATAAATCTTAAATTTTGTTTAAATTTGAATAAGTAACAGAGATTAAATATTTCAATCAATATTGGATAATTGAAGTAGTGCTCTATTTTTTTATAAAATGGCTGAATTTTTTTAAGGATTGACAGCAGATTAATTTCTCATAATTTTAGATTTAATTTTAATTCCGGTAGGTATATATGAATGTTTTTGAAAATCTTAAATAAAACGATTACTAGGATTGTTTTGAATAGTATTAGTTATATTAGATTGAATAAATCCGATAGCAGTACTTAAGATATCTTTAGATCTTAATTCATTATGATTATTATAAAGATTAATGATATGTTTTTGTCCTTGATATGAATGAAAAATGTTAGTAAAATGATGATAAGGAATGAGTGTGTCAAATTTGGATGCTAATAACAACATAGGACAATTAGAATTTAATATTTATGGTAATTTGACTGAAGAGATAGAAAAGTTATATAATTATTAAATTTATCCTAATTATTTTTAGATAATACTTTTGAGAATTTCCAATAATCCTTTGTTAATAAGATTTGGAGTATGCAATTTTTACTTAATTAGATTAAGAATTACATCATCAAGAGTATAAAAAGGACTATCCAAAATGATACAAGTGATATTTTAATATTTTATAGCATACATTAAAGCAGTGGTCGCACCCATAGATCTTCCCCATAAAATAATATTTTAATATTTAGAACTTAAGTAATCCACTAGTAAGATGACATTTAATTATTCATTTAACCTAAGAGAGACAAATAGATATACCCAAAAGTAACAAAATCTCCATCTGATTATCCAGCAGCTTGAAAATCAAAAGTGCATAAATCTACACCAGATTATAAAATAATTGAAGCATAAGGTACTATTTCAAGTCTTGAACCATTATAACCATGTAAATATAATACACATGATTATGTTGTTATTTTACATTTATATAGAGTACATTAAATTCCTTGTAATTTAAAATCCTGTCTTGGAAATCCACATTCTAAATCTGATTGATTAAATTTGACTCTGTTTGGCTGCATTATTTATCTACAATAATTCTCAAACATTTGATCTTATATATCAAAATTTTATTAAAAACATTTCATTTAATTTTACATGTATTATTTAACAATAGAATAGAAGATATAAAATAATGTAATAAAATAGATAATATTATTGAACAATAGATAATGAATTTGGTTAGGATGAATTGTAATATCAGAAATCGAGAATTATTCTTCAATTATATTAAATATATATATATATATTAAAATGAGAAGAGAGAAATAAATACGAGTTCAAACATTAAATGATGAATATTTATCTCCTGTAAAATTGCCAAATGTCTATAAGGTGAATAAAACTATAGAAGGAGAAGATGGAACTGTATAAATATTAATAAAAGAGATTAGATTTTTGCAATGAATTAATTAATGAGTAGAGCAAACATTGGAACTAGTAATAAGACTCTTAGAACCTTATAGAAGATAACGAATGATTAAAGTGAAAGAAAGGATTTACAATTATTATAACAATGGACTGATGTATATAATTTTGATTATGATTAAGTCTATGGTATAACAGATTCAAAAACAGCATTTTTACAGTATAACAGAGTTTTATGATAAAATAGAGTTAATATACTCTGGTTCGATAGGATAGTTATGTTAATAATTGTCTGTGAAATGTAATGAGTATTCTTAATTGATTGATAAAATATGGTCATAATTTACAGGGACTGTCAAAGAGATAATTGATAAATAATCTAGAACAAATCGTAAATTAGAAAAGGAAAGCTTAGCAAATACAATTAAGATTCATGAGAGATATTAGAATTCTATGAGTGAAAAGGTATAACGATTATAAGAAACTGAAAAGTAGTTATAACGAAATACAGAATATGTGGAAAAATTAAATAAGGAGAATAAATATTTGAGAAAAAAAACTAATACATTACAAACATAAATTACAAGTTTAAATAATGATATCGAATTATTAAAATTGTAATTGTAGGATTTGAATAAAGAAAACGAAACGCTTAAATTATTTTAATAAGTTCGACATTCTACTGAAAATGTTACACCAGATTATGAAGAAGAATTATATAAAGTTAAGAAAGAAATATTTGATGATTTTAAAATGGTATTTGAAGAATAAACACGTAAATTTGAAGAAGCATATCATAATAAAATGTTAGAATTAGAAAGAGGTACAGATGACAAAGCATAAAAAGATGAGAATCTAATTGAAGAATATGAAGAAATACTCTTTAAAGATAAATGTGTTGGTAATCATATACAATTTATTGATATGCATACTGATACTTTAGAGTATAAATATATATTAATATAAATATAGTTTAATTTAAACTTAGGATTCTTAAGTTTAGACTATCTATTAGAAAAAGAAACTTTATGATTGGGGAACATAGACTTTACCTACTTAAACATCTAATTAATCTTGTGAAGCTAATTATCCTATTATTAAAAGAGAATGTATACCAAGAAATAATGAAGAATAAACTTATTTAGAAATGTCACGATATCCAATCAAAGCTTTTATAGATGATTATTATCAATTGTATATTGAAAAAGTTGAAATTGAAAAAAAAACATTTCCTGAAATTTTTGAAAGTGTTCTTGATCAACTTAAATTTAGATCCTCTTAATTATTTAATATTATGAAAATGAAAGAAGAATTCTATTAAGAAGATTTTTGTCAACTTGATTAATATGTTTAGAGTTCATATACAGTATTTGTATTCTTAACACATCATTTTTAAGACATTATACATAAATTAAAAGATGAATTAATTGCTCGTAAAATCTAAGTGTTTGAAACATAAATTGATTGTAAATAAGCTATTAGAAATAAAAATTAAATTCAAAAAAGACTTGATCTCTTAAGTTCCAAATACCAACATTAAGTTAAAAACTACAACTTTATTGAAAAGTAATTTAAATAGATATCTAAATTCATTCCTTAATATCATTAAGATTAAATACGTCGTAAGGCTTAAAAATATAAAATTCATTTAGAATTCCCAAAAGCATTTTCTCCAAATCCAATGATTTAGAGTACTAACAATATAAATAGTTTAACCAATCTAAACAATCTAAACAATCTAAATAATTTGAACCTTTAAACATAATAGGTANAATTACAAGTTTAAATAATGATATCGAATTATTAAAATTGTAATTGTAGGATTTGAATAAAGAAAACGAAACGCTTAAATTATTTTAATAAGTTCGACATTCTACTGAAAATGTTACACCAGATTATGAAGAAGAATTATATAAAGTTAAGAAAGAAATATTTGATGATTTTAAAATGGTATTTGAAGAATAAACACGTAAATTTGAAGAAGCATATCATAATAAAATGTTAGAATTAGAAAGAGGTACAGATGACAAAGCATAAAAAGATGAGAATCTAATTGAAGAATATGAAGAAATACTCTTTAAAGATAAATGTGTTGGTAATCATATACAATTTATTGATATGCATACTGATACTTTAGAGTATAAATATATATTAATATAAATATAGTTTAATTTAAACTTAGGATTCTTAAGTTTAGACTATCTATTAGAAAAAGAAACTTTATGATTGGGGAACATAGACTTTACCTACTTAAACATCTAATTAATCTTGTGAAGCTAATTATCCTATTATTAAAAGAGAATGTATACCAAGAAATAATGAAGAATAAACTTATTTAGAAATGTCACGATATCCAATCAAAGCTTTTATAGATGATTATTATCAATTGTATATTGAAAAAGTTGAAATTGAAAAAAAAACATTTCCTGAAATTTTTGAAAGTGTTCTTGATCAACTTAAATTTAGATCCTCTTAATTATTTAATATTATGAAAATGAAAGAAGAATTCTATTAAGAAGATTTTTGTCAACTTGATTAATATGTTTAGAGTTCATATACAGTATTTGTATTCTTAACACATCATTTTTAAGACATTATACATAAATTAAAAGATGAATTAATTGCTCGTAAAATCTAAGTGTTTGAAACATAAATTGATTGTAAATAAGCTATTAGAAATAAAAATTAAATTCAAAAAAGACTTGATCTCTTAAGTTCCAAATACCAACATTAAGTTAAAAACTACAACTTTATTGAAAAGTAATTTAAATAGATATCTAAATTCATTCCTTAATATCATTAAGATTAAATACGTCGTAAGGCTTAAAAATATAAAATTCATTTAGAATTCCCAAAAGCATTTTCTCCAAATCCAATGATTTAGAGTACTAACAATATAAATAGTTTAACCAATCTAAACAATCTAAACAATCTAAATAATTTGAACCTTTAAACATAATAGGTATATGTAAATAGTTCTACTTCACTCTTACCTCCATAACATTAAAGTACAAGTCCAAATTTATTGATATCTGCAAATCCAAAAAATTCATTTGGATTCTTTCCTCCAATGACTCCTTTAGAACCTTAATAAGAAAGTAGTATACCATAACGTACTTCTATGGTAGAATTAAGTTGTGATTCACCAGAAGTTCAAGAGATGCTTTCACCTAATAAACCATAAATAACTTTAACTTGTATCTATTTGATATTATCAAAGTCTTTCCTGATAATAAATTTGAGGAATCGTCTAGTTCTTCAGATGAAGAAGTAGATTTATCAGAATGTTTGAATCCTGTAAAGAATCTTCTGTCAATAGAAAAGAAGTTATTTATTAATAGATGTCCAAGCAAAAATACATAGATTGCAACTTAAACACTTTTATAAGAGATATAGTAATTTAGAAGAGATAAAATAGAAAATATAGTAACTTAAGGTACATTGATAAAAACATTATCTAATTTTGTATAATGGTGTTTAAAGTTTAATAAATTAAATTATCCCATGCATGTTTAATTATATGAATATTTTTCAAGTGAAAATTAATCATAACCACAGAATGTTTGGTTAGGGAAAGTGGCAAGAGTGATAAAATCAGTAATATATTATAAAAGAAAGAATGATTCAGCAAGATTATTTCATGCAATGTTGGTTGGAGATGTACTTAATATGATTTATAATTTAATTAGTTAAGTTTTCTGATTTACTTACAAATATTGAGTAACATTCCGAATGTCAATTTTTTAGAAACTGGAATATCAGTTCTTCAATCCTAATTGGCTGAACAAATTAAGAGTTTATAGAAGTTACCCCAATATATAGATTATGATTAAGAGATTTCTCATCATCTTGGTCCAATTTAAGATATCAAGATTCAAGAATTAATTCTTAAATATTCTACAATATTGCAAATTTTTGCAGAAGATGGAGAAAGATTAACATAAACTTAATTTAGATTATTAATGGTTGAACTTGAAAGTAAGAAGGATGAGTAATACTATATAAATGTATTTAATTCAGAATGTGACATAGAATAATCATCTATTTAATATATGTCATTTCAAAGATTCGCAGTTGTTTGTGAAGAATTTTAATTTCTTTAAGGATTACATGATTATATCATTAAAAATGATGCATAATATTTTAAAGATACAGAACTATGGAAATTAAGAGAAATAGAATTAAAATTGATGTTAATTAGAAGTCATAATTATGATGCATCTGAAAGAGATTTGTTTTATAGAATGCATAAATTGCATTAACCATCTCAACGTATAATTTTGGGAAGGTTTTTAGAAAGAAGAGCAAAAGAATTATTATTATATAAATATACATTAGAATGTTTAGCACCTTTTATGTTACTTTTCGAATCATGATTATAATGAAAATTAATTAGTTAAAATCACACTAAATATTTAGGTTAAATTTAAGTTATCTTTTATTGGAATAAATGCATTAACATCTTTATGTAAATTACTATGGAAAAAGTCATATACTGCTTTATGTTACTTTAACTTTTTCAAGGTTATTGTTTTAGCATCATTTGCTCTTCTCAATTTATCTACATCGTCTGAAGATATAAATTACTCAGCTTTTTAATCTTGAGGTTTCTCATTTTTTTGTAATATCTTTATTAATTAATATTAAATTTGTTACTTTTAAAAATGTTTGTTTCTCTTATTTCTTTATTCTCACTTCATTTAATTTTAATTAACATTCCTAAACTTCTAAATTTAATTCATTAAATTTTGTAAGATGATTTAGAAATTCATCAAATGTTGGATTATTATAAGTATTAGCAATTCCTAAAGAATGAAGATGTCTAATCTATTCTAAAATATGAAAATCTATTTGATCACCACCATCCCCTTTTGGTTTAAGTGATAATCTATATCCAGGTGTGATCATTCTATTTGATGGCATTTATTCCAACATTAATCTTGTCTATGTTTCTCTTAGTTTATCTTATTATTATATATTATTATTTATTGAATTCGAATGCTTTAAATTCAAATTCTTATTATGCTGATTTTATTAATTTTAATCTTACATATCAAATGTAACTTTAACTTTATAATCATTTAAATTAATATTTCCATTTGTATTTACTACTTTTTAACTAACTGAACTTAAATCTTTCATCGTCATAAACTATTTTGATATATGTTGTTGTTTTTAAGGTTTACTTGGTTCCGATTTAGTCTTTTGTTTATATAAACTTAATTTATCACTTAATTCCCTAGTTATTAATTTATATTCATTTATCATTCTATCTAAATTCTTACAATGTTTGAACAATTATTACACTCTTTCCTCATTTTAATCTTAATTGAATTAACATAATTTCAAAACTGTTTACATTCTTTTCATTTCATTCTAAACTCCTTGTAAATTATCCATCTGTTTTTTCATTTCATCTCCTTGATTCTTTGTTAAATCATTTAATCTATAAGCTTCAATTGTTGCTTCTTATGGATAAAGGTTTTATTTGATTGTTTATAATTCTTTTAATTTATTCTTTAATTATTAACTATAATAATTGAATTAATATATTACTTTTAATATTACAATTAATTGTATTTTTTAATGTATAATCCTTTCTTTTTGTTCTCTGGTACTCCTCTTCTTCCTGAAGATGGCACTCTATCTATGCTTTTTTCTAAAGATTGATTAAATCTTCTTATAGGTTCATCCTTATTAACTGTTGGACTATAATATCTTTATTTAATATCAGGTAATTTATGAATAGATTTATCTTTTGAACTCTTTGCATTTATTACTAATCGAATGGCTTTTTAATTTATTAGTATTTCTTCTTGGATTGACATATATTAAGTAGAATCTTTTCCATAAAATTACATTAACTTTGAGAAATTATTTTTTTAAGTAAGTGCCAACCAAGGAAATTAAACCCACAACCATCTTTTATAATAATAAGGATTTGGAATTTTTGAAGTTGATAACAATTTCTCTCTTAAAAAATCTTATTTGGTTTATAGATATTCTTATAAAGTAATTTAATCAAATTATGATTAATAATAATTGATAAAGCTATCTCTATTATTTTTAATATCTAAATTAAGATTTTCTAATTAGACACTATTCATTATAGTAGGGAAATAATCTTCATTTAATTATTATTTTGGTTTTTTCTTAGCTAACATCTTTAATTAACTTAATTCACCATATAATCCTACTTCTTCAAATTCTATTGATTAACCTCTTAATAAGGGATGTTTATAGGCAGGTGTGCCTTCTCTAGTTTATTATTTAAATATTCAATTACTTTTCAAAATTAGAAAATTCTCTTAAGAATATACAAATTTATAACATGATGAAAAATAATCCTTCTGTTGTTGGTTTATAAATGGCTTAAAAGTTCTCAACTGCTTTATTATACTCCATAACTAAATCATATCCATTTTATTCTAACATATCCCATAATTAACACAATTCAAATTTATTATAAGGATTCCAAAGCATTAAAAAATGTTCTATATTAATAATAATTTCTTTGAGTTTAAAGAATTTTTTATTTTTTGTATATTAAAAGATGAGTTCTTCTAACTTTCTGTTAGAGTTGTTTGAATGTTCAATTATTTATAAATATTACTCATAAAGGTTTTTGTTATATTAGATAGATTAGATTGCTTATCTCATAGTAAGTATATAGATAGCGTAGACTAGATTATTTTCAAGGAAACAGATCTATAGAATAATAACAAGAAATACCTTGAAAAAATCATAAACTTTTATAAACTATTCTTGTGTGCATTAACAACTAGCCATGATTTCATCAATTGAGATACCTTGATTAATAAATTTGATGATAATACCTTTATTCACATAAGAAAGAACACAAAAGATGGAAGAAGCAATAGGATCATGATGACAAAATTAATTAACAAGAATAGTAAAGAATTCATATTCATTAAGGAATTCTAATAATTTATTATTTTCATAATTACTTTCTGCTTATGCCAATACATCTGTAATTAATTAAGTATATTCATCTAAAGGATTACTTAGAATAGTATAAAATATTTTAAGAAAATGTAATTAACAACGTAATTATTCAGGAACATGTAAAAGTGCATTATGTATGCATGAATTATTTTTTATAAGATTCCAAATTTGAATACTCTCATTTTCACTAGAAATAATTAAATAAATCTTACATAGGAATAATTGGATTACCAATAGATTAATAATATTCAAATGCTTTACTACCTTATTTGGCTGAAGCTATAAGTTTAATATTATCAGGCAATATTTTAGGTAACCAAGATGATACTCTTACCTCTCCGTTACTATAAAATTTATCGATTCCTTGAATTACAATGATTACCCTCAATAATATGATAAGATATACTCGTTTATATGCTACTTTACAATCACTATATAATTAATTTCCAAGTTCTCTTGAACATAAATTCAACCAATATTCAAAATATTATTTCAATTTCTCACTCTCTAATTCAACTTTTTGAGTAATATTAAACACAGCCTTATTTATTCAATTTAGATACTCGTAATTTTGTTAAAATGTAATAAATAGCATAATAATGATTTTAGTTCTCATGTTCAACTAAATATGGGATTATTAGATCTCTCTTTAATCTATAATAATGATTACATTTCTTTATTAATGTTCTTATATCCAATATGCTAACATGGTTTATAAATCATCTCCCTCTTTCTCATGTATTAAAAGTACTTTATTTTACTACTCATTAAATTAATACAATTTACTTTTACTCTGTAAAATTATTCTTCTATTCTAAAATGAAACTGTTCTAAACCTTCAGGTCTCATCATTGTTAGACATTTCTCAAGAATTACTTCAGATTTACTATTAATCACATCACACATATACCTATTATTTTACTCAAGTTCAAATTAGTTTTCCATTTAAATATTAATAATAATCTATAATTAATACTAATTGATATATCATAAGCTTATGTAAATCATAAATTTTTGCTTAAACTCTATTTCACTTATTAAATGGCAGGTTCTCTACAATCCTCTTATTAATGCAATTATTCATCATCGTTAACTTATTACTATTATTATTATTTATATTTTTGAAGGAAATTCAATGATTCTTGTCTCTTATGTTTTGATAAACCTTCTTTTATTTTTTATTGCTATTTTGAACCTTCAACAGGAGAATCTATTAAACTCAATTAATATCACATATACCATCAATACTCTCTACTCTACCAGTTATAACTGGAGTATGCATAATCATTTATTCTTATAATTGCACACTCTCTTTCATTTAATCTTTCATAGCCTAGGTTTAAGTTGCTCTTATATTTGGTGATCTTATAGGTGAATTTGTAAGTTGATTTATTCTCATCATATCAAACTTATTATTTAGATCGTTAATCTTTTATAATCTTTAATCTAATTAACAACTATCATCTATATCGATATTTTCATCTTCAAATTATGCAATGTTTGGAATATGATATGGATTAAAATAATTATGCTTTAATGCTTCTTCTGCTGTTATTCTTTATTTTGGATCTGTCTCTAACATTCTTTTTAATAAATTTAATGCTGCTTTTGGAATTATATCAAACGCTGACGATTTCCATTGAATTTTTGCTTCCTTATTTTAATTTACAATTGTTGTATAACTACGTCCAGTGAATGCTGGCTTACCAGTTAACAGTAAATGAAATACTAAACCCAATGAATATATATCACAAACTTTATCGTATTTCGTTGTAAGATCTTTTATGTTGATTACTTCAGGAGCAACAAATCTATCTAATATTATTCATTATATACCCTGGTGTTCCACATCTACAATATAAATACACTTCTTCATTAACTAATGTCGCTAATCCAAAATCTGCAAGACATACAGACTCTATTTAATTTGGCTTTTTGAATAAGATATTTTCTAATTTGATATCTCTATGCATGATATCTTTGGAATGTATATGTTTTAGACCTATGATTACAAAAGTTATGAGCAATACCTTCTAACAATCCTTTAATAATAGTTAATATTTCTTTATTAGAAAAAATGACTTTTTTCTTCAATTACTCATATAATTAACCTCCTTCTAACAATTCTAAACAAACATACAATGAATTAGTTGTTTCATGAACTTCATGTAACTTGATAATATTTGGATGATCTAATTATCGCATTAATTTGATTTCATTCATTAAACCTTCTTTTCCATTTTCTTCAGCATATGCCACACTTTTAGAGAATGCTTTGATAGCCATTTATTATCCATCTTCAACTCTTTCTGCTAAATAGACTGATGCAAAGTTTCCTTTTCCAATCTTCTTAAAAACCTTGAACAAGTGATGGAACCCATACTAATTGATACGCTTTCCTAAGAACCATCTCCATTATGTAAGTATCAAAGAATGTGCAACTAACTCATACCTATGGTCTTCATCTCTAAATAGCCACAACCCAGTCGCATCTCCAAGTTTCTCTATATTTTCGCTCTTAACTTAATCAGCTCGAGCATTTCCTGATAGTTTTACTATCTAACATCCTGGTTTCATCTTTGGAGCTGTTCGAATCATCTCAAATTTCAGATCAAAGTCAATCATTGTGTATTTCTTAGCCTTTTTGAATTGGGGGTCCTTATGTTTAAACTCTCATTGAAACCTCGAATATTATCAGCATAGTCTCACTCCCACCTAAATATCGAAGCTTTCCTTTTCTCTAAAATTCAGACTTTATCAAAATCTCTCCAATCTTAACATTTTCATTATAAGCGCTCCAAAACTTTGTTTTCATTATATGATAGATTATTTTATCAATTATATTACTTAAGAACATCATAATCTTACTATCTTTTCTGATTAAAATCCAACAATCATTTTTATATCCTTTATAATATACATACTTTCCATACACACAAATACTTTACTTAAAGAATTCTTTGATTAATCTTAATACTCATAAAAGATTTCAGGATTAAAAATAGAAAAGATCTATATATTAATTAAATTCTTTTCTTTGATAAAAACATATTTAATTTATTTATTTACTAATAATTCTCATTATCTTCTTTCAACTGTAGCTTCATAATATCAATTAAGTCAATAATTATTAATAACACTATATATAAATATTCACTATAATTAATTATAGTTAATAATATATATTTTAAAAAATTCAAATGAGTGATAAAGTCTAATAGATGTCAGAGGATCCCTCCACTAAAGAGCTTAATAACTTTGTGCAAACTCTTCTTAAACAAATGTAAGATAGATTTGATGAAATGCAAAATACTATTGTGAACAGAATAGATGATATGGGTAACTTATCCAAATCTCATCATTTTATTAGGAAAGCGAATTGATGACATAGAAAAAAGTGTGACAGAACTTATGAATGATCTAGGATTCTCAGATGATGAAAATGAAAAAGGCAAATAATTTTGAACTTTATATCAACCTTATATCATTAATTCAAAATCTTTTTGTAATTATTCAATTTTGCATTCCTTATACTCATAAAAAAATAGCTTTTCTCTTTTTATTTTTCATATTCCTTAAATTCCTTTTCTTTTTTTATTATAAAATATAAATTGATTAACATTTTTGTTTTTCTTAAGTATTCTATCTGAAATTCACATTTTCTATCTATTTTATAATTGAAATGAATAAATATTAAGGTTATTCTAGTTAAATAAGAATTAAAATGCATAACTAATAATAACCCAAAATTTTTGAATTCAAGTAAAAAATGTGATGAATTTAGTAGTAAAATAATATATTTAGATTTAAAATTTTAGTTATTATCAAATTGAATTTTGATTTTTATAGTATATTGACGAAATGAGGATAATATATGTTAAATAATAAAAATATAGAGATTAAATTAAAAATAATAATAAAAATAAAATGGGAAATTGTTCAGCTGAAAATATTTAGTATTATGAGAATGTAGAATTTACAGAGGGAGATACATATGAAGGAGAAATGAAGAATGGATTTGCAGAAGGTTGGGGTATCTATACAAGAAAAAATGGAGACAAATATATTGGTTGGGTAATAATAAGTTATATTAAGTGAAGTGGCATAATGGATTTTAGCATGGTATAGGAAAAGAGATATTTGCAGATAAAACTGAATATGAGGGAACATTTGAGGAAGGAAAGAAACATGGTCAAGGGAAAATAAAATTTCCTGATGGATCATCATATGAAGGATAATTTTAAAAGGATAGTTTTTCAGGAGATGGAGTTTACATATATCCAAATGGAATGAAATTATTTGGTAGAATAGTATTTTAATTAAGTTTGGTAAGTGGATAGATAATAGAAAAGAAGGTAGAGCATAAATAGTATTTGAGAATGGAAATATATTTTAATGTGTAAGAATATAATGAAATTAAAAGTAATATAAAAATGATATGAAAAATGGTGAGGGTTTATTCAAATGTCCGGATGGATGTAGATTTGAGAGTAATTGGGTAGATGGATAATTATAAGGAGAATCGAAATATATAGAAAATGATATTTTGACAATTGGAGAATGGCTAAATAATAGATGTGTGAAATGGGAATAATAGAATGATTGAAATTTGGAATCTATTTAAAATAATAAAGGATTATTATTATTAAAGGATTTTATATTATTAAATTTATAAACTCCACTAAAAATAGCAATTTAAATACTTCATAGAGACTTAAAATTATTTATTGAGGAGAATAAATAATATATTTTTTAAGAATTCTCAATGTACTAACAGGTATTTAATTGATGGATGAATCTGAATTTCAAGTAGAAATGACAAAAATTATTAATGAAACATCATATCTAAATTAAAGAAGTCATTAGCATGTATAAAACAGCCTAATAAAAACCTTAAGGCATCTTTATTAAGTGTTATGGACTCAGCATTTAAGGATATTTCATAAGAAGTTAAAGAATTATGTTATCCTAATATAGCAACATTTCATTAAAAATTGTTATAGTTATCTAATTTTAAAAGAAATTGAAAGCTCTTGGAAAAAATTTATTGCTGATTGAGAAAAAATAAAAAGATTTATTTTCTTAATAAAAAAATGAATAATTAATTCATTTCAGATATTCTTGATAAATCATTTGGNGGAAATTGTTCAGCTGAAAATATTTAGTATTATGAGAATGTAGAATTTACAGAGGGAGATACATATGAAGGAGAAATGAAGAATGGATTTGCAGAAGGTTGGGGTATCTATACAAGAAAAAATGGAGACAAATATATTGGTTGGGTAATAATAAGTTATATTAAGTGAAGTGGCATAATGGATTTTAGCATGGTATAGGAAAAGAGATATTTGCAGATAAAACTGAATATGAGGGAACATTTGAGGAAGGAAAGAAACATGGTCAAGGGAAAATAAAATTTCCTGATGGATCATCATATGAAGGATAATTTTAAAAGGATAGTTTTTCAGGAGATGGAGTTTACATATATCCAAATGGAATGAAATTATTTGGTAGAATAGTATTTTAATTAAGTTTGGTAAGTGGATAGATAATAGAAAAGAAGGTAGAGCATAAATAGTATTTGAGAATGGAAATATATTTTAATGTGTAAGAATATAATGAAATTAAAAGTAATATAAAAATGATATGAAAAATGGTGAGGGTTTATTCAAATGTCCGGATGGATGTAGATTTGAGAGTAATTGGGTAGATGGATAATTATAAGGAGAATCGAAATATATAGAAAATGATATTTTGACAATTGGAGAATGGCTAAATAATAGATGTGTGAAATGGGAATAATAGAATGATTGAAATTTGGAATCTATTTAAAATAATAAAGGATTATTATTATTAAAGGATTTTATATTATTAAATTTATAAACTCCACTAAAAATAGCAATTTAAATACTTCATAGAGACTTAAAATTATTTATTGAGGAGAATAAATAATATATTTTTTAAGAATTCTCAATGTACTAACAGGTATTTAATTGATGGATGAATCTGAATTTCAAGTAGAAATGACAAAAATTATTAATGAAACATCATATCTAAATTAAAGAAGTCATTAGCATGTATAAAACAGCCTAATAAAAACCTTAAGGCATCTTTATTAAGTGTTATGGACTCAGCATTTAAGGATATTTCATAAGAAGTTAAAGAATTATGTTATCCTAATATAGCAACATTTCATTAAAAATTGTTATAGTTATCTAATTTTAAAAGAAATTGAAAGCTCTTGGAAAAAATTTATTGCTGATTGAGAAAAAATAAAAAGATTTATTTTCTTAATAAAAAAATGAATAATTAATTCATTTCAGATATTCTTGATAAATCATTTGGCTAATTTCCTAAATTGATAATTAATCATAACAATTAAAAACTTACTTAATAAATAATCAAATCTAATAAACTCAAATTAAAAATTAAGTCATTAATAAATCTTTATTTCTATATTAAAATGAGTAATGAAAATAATAATTGTAATTCAAGATCGATTGGGTAAATCTCCTTCATAAAAGTCTCATTAATATAAATTTCGTAGGCAATGACAGAACATGGAAAAGAAAGAATGATGAAATCTCAGCTATAGTGATAATGATTGAATTGTAATACACAGTTAATTTTTAAATATATCATTATAATCAAGCAAGTATCTCATTTTTAATTTATATTATTGCAAAAAAAAAAATCAATTGTTAATTGCCTTAATAAAATTTGATTTATTAGTTTTGAAGTCTAAAATCATTCTAAAAAATTTAATATTAACAAATAATATCTCTGAAAAAGTATATTTTTTAAAAAAACAAGAACATATTATTTCAATTAGTATTAAAATATTAATTGTTCATTGAATTCTAACATTTACACAATTCATCAAAATAAAATTTTGAAAAATAATCATTTCTTAAGTAATTTATTTGTTTAAATTAAAGATAAAATAACAGTTTTAAATTTTTAGATTATTGTTGGGTTAAAAAATATATGAGAAATAAAAGTTAATCTCATTATGAATGAGGATAAATATTATGATTAGCAATATGAAATTATTTAAGTTGATGAGAAGGAAAATAATGATAATTAATTTTTGTAATACAAAAATTAATGAGTTTTAATAAGTTTTAGCTTGAAGGATGCGGATTCAATTTCAATCTAATTCATTTGTTATGGCTTTAAGATCCAATTTTCAAAAACAATATACGCTTAGACATTCCTGACACAATATAAATAATTTAAGGATAACCTCATTTTTGGTATTATAGTGTTGATTCTTAAATAATGAGAAAAAGCAAAACAAAATTAAACTTAGAGTCAATTTTATAAGATTTTATCAGGGATTAAAAGGATAATCATGAAATATGTGCTGCTTGGATTGTAAAGAAAGACAATTAAACTGAATTTGAATTTCTTTCTCAATATCTTCTAAGCTAATTAATATCTCAAATGAGTTATGAAACAGAGGGTTATTTATAGAAATTCATTTATCCAAAATGTAGATTTTTATAATTATTTTTTAGCTGAGAAGAATGAAGTTATAAAATGTACATGGGGAAACAATTTGTGTTATTTTGAAGTTTTCACTAATAAATATCCAATTATGATGTAGAAAGCTGATATTTATTAAAGAGCAGTGACATTCGAAACACCAAATGGACCTGTAGAATAATCAACGTAAAATTTAATTTTTCAGATTTTTAGTTTATAAGGGACTTAGTTTTGTTAAAGATTAGAATTATTATGTGGATTAATTATGTCTCATGTAATCAATGTAACTTAAAACTAAAAAGAGATTACATTAATGGAATTGATATTTAAATTATCAAAGAAAGGATAAATATATCTTATAATATGTTCCAATTTATCAACATTCAATGTACCTTCTAAATTTACATTACGTAATAAATAGAACTAATTATAAGCCAATTTTTCGATAACTAAAAAGGTCACTAAAGAGCTTTTGAACTATCCGAAACCTATTACATTATCTGATAATTCTAAATGCATAGTTTGTGATGAAGAGAAAAATTAAATAGAATTTTCAAAAGTCAAATTAAAAGAGTTGATTCATTATTGGGAATCCGGATCTGATCATAGATCTTAAATTTAATCTCCTAAATCATATAGATTGAATGCATAATAACTAAAAATAGATCCAACCCAACTGATCCCTAGAGTAATCAAATTAATGTATCCAAGAATGACTTTAGAAGAATATTAAGAATTTCGTAAAAACACAGTTTTTATTAATTAAACAATCTCATTATGTAGCTATTGCTTTACTAAACTTTATTCAAGCGAAGCAGAAAAAGTTATAGTAATACCTAAAAAACATAAAAGATTAATTAGAACTGAAATTTATGATAATGAACCAATTAAATATGATCTAATACCTCCAGGATCAACAAAGACATCCATTTATAGCAGTTTTCTATAACATAAAGTTATTAATAACTATATTAATCGAAGACTTAAATAATCTAATGTAAAAAACGAATTATTTCCAATTGTCAATAATTCTAATTCATTATATAAAACTACTTAATCTTCTAGAAATAAAGTAGAAATATGATTAATTATTTGAAATTATATTTCTTTTTTATAGTTATTAAGTTATAAAGGAAGTATAATTTGTATTATATTGAATTTGACTTTTGATTCACTTATTTATAATGCATGAAACAATTAAAAATTTAATTTCAACTGTAATTTATGATAGCTATTATGTTGAGCCTTCATTATATTTTAATTTTTATATTTTTAAAATGCATTAACAGCGTCGTTTATCTCCAGCTCCCTCAAGTCCATGTCCTAGAATATGTAAAATTATTTATATTTATTGCTTATAGAATAGTAATCCAACCGTATGCAGTTCCTTTAACCTTAATATGTAGTTCCTTAACAGCCATAATAATATTGTTAATAACCAATTGTTCTTAAAACTGAAGAATTAAGGCCTGTTCTTCAATAACACCATTAATCTAGAGAAAGAGATAAAGAAAATTTAAATCCAAAATCATTCTAATCTGGCAGACTTATAAGTTAACACGATACTCCTTAACATTCTTAAAGATCTTTATAATAAATCCCTATTGGAGCTTTTCAATCTTAAACGTCTAACGAAGCCTAAATTAAGCAATTAAGAGAAGAAATGTTAAAGATGTTTGAATTCTCTAGAAAAGATTTTGAATTAGTTAAATTAGAATTAGACTAATCAAAACAAGATTTGATTGAACAAAAATAAATCAATAAAACATTTACTACTTAATTAGAAGCATTAAATTTATAATTAGTACAGGAATAAGAATTAACTAAAAAATTAAAACTTGAAATTGATGAATTAAAAAAAATATAATTACAATAAACACATTAGCTTACTTTTTATTCTGGAATAAAATAAGAAATAACTTAAGAATTGCAATAATATGTTGATAATTAGTTGAAATTACAATCCACTTAATCATAATAACCTTAATCATAAATAACCTTAGACACTTATGATACTTATATTAAGAAATATGAATAATTTAATAAATAAGTCAATGATTATTTATTAAATAGAAAATTACCTGACAATTAATATAATGATACAATAGACTAAGATAATTGTGATTTAATAAAAGAAAAAGAATCCCCTGTCCGTTTATTGAATTAAGAAGAATAATAAATTATTTTAACAAAAGAAGATATGGAAAGATGTACATATAATTTAATTTTAGATAAAATGTCAATCATTCATGAAAATGAGAACGAAGAGGATGAAATTATATATCAGGTAGATGAAAATGGTTATGTTATGAATTAAGATGGCAATCATTTGGTAGATAATTATGGTAGATTGATATAACTGTCAGATAAAGATATTGAATACTTTAAAAGCAAGAACTAATTGGATGAAATCAAGTGAATTTAACTTAAATTTATTATCATATAAAATGCATTCTAAAATATTTTTAATACTATTAAATTTATAAAATAAATTAAAGTTTATATATAATAAGTTCTCATAAGTTGTTTGCAAAAAATATGCATTAATATTAATATTAATTATAAAATTTTATGTTTCATAATTTCTATTAATTAAAAACGAATTACTATTTATAAAGAATTATTATAAAATTAATGTCGTTATATAAATGTTTATGTTTCAATACATTTATTTGCATGATATTAAATAATTGTATATATATAAATTATGTTTTGTAAAATTTTAGTTGAATACAATTTTTTCATAAACTACAATAATATCATATTAATCAATAGACTTAAATATTTTAAGTCGAAAAATAAATTTTTTTGATAAATTCACAAGTTTGATATTTATTAATACATTTGATAATTAATAGAAAACTTAAAAAATAACTAATAAAGGATTATATTGATTAAAATATTTGATAATGTTTTATAATTAACCTAAAATTTTTGAAAACATACAAATGTTTTCTAATGATTAAAATATTTAATAATTTTTTGTAATTAATATATGAATTATTAATAAATTCATTGAAAATAAAAAAAAAGTGTATAAACAAATTGATTTCATAAAAGGGATATTTTATATTTTGGGATCTTAATTGTATAAAATATTTTCATTAAGTTTTTATCTCATAAATAAAGTTGTCATTTNAATTGTATAAAAATACATTAATTCTATTAAAATTATTATTATAAAAATTTTTTAAGTTAATTAAATTGATTATCAATTTGAAAATTTTATAGTGATCAACTGATAATTCTTTGGGAACATTATCAAGTAAACCATTTTTTTTCAGCAAATAATCTATCTTATATTAATTTATGTACACGTTAAAATCTTGAAAAATTTGATAACATCTCATTCCAAATGAATAATTATTTCAAGTTGATTTCCCCTCGTATTTTATTACTTGTGTAATATTTATATGTATTTTATCCCAAATTGTATTTTCTTTACATTTAAATTTTAGTTTAAGTTCCTAAAATATCCAAATAATCAGGCATTTGATAAGAGTTTGTTTAGTTTAAACTGTCAAGTATTTTTAGAGGGGATTACATTTTTAGGTATTAAAATAATGCTATCCAAAAATTTTAAACAAGAATCTTTTTGATGAGCTAGAATCTATATTTTAATAAATTTATTTATATTTCCGATGATAAGACATCATACACATTAATTATAGAAATAAAACTACTAATTAACTATTTTACTATATTTAAAAATCATAGTTTTCGTGAGAAAAGAATATAAATTAATAAGGCAGAATAATTCCATAAAATTTATAATACTTTTTCAAATAAATCTTCTAATTATTGAAATAAATTAATTGTTTAATTAATAAAACTTAAAATTTTCTTTTATTGTATTTTTTGTTTTACCCTACTCTAAAAAGAAATGATAATTATTTTGTAAAAAAAAAATCGTACACTATAATCAATTAATTAAAAAATTTTTAAAAATGCAAATTATTAATTTCATATTTTATGGGTATGATTTTTAAATAAAAATTTCATATAGTATTTAACTTATTTAATCATAAATTCTTTTAAGAATAACACAAAAAAGGCCATTATTGTATTTTTATCTTCTGACAGCAAAAATCTTTTTTTCAGAAAAATAATTAAATAAGTATAATAAATTTTTTTTCTTTTGAGGCTTTAACCATCATTTTGTCCTTTGATATTTGGAGCTGTTCTTTTTTAAAAAATTTGCTTGGATTCATTTATTTTAATCAGAATATTAGAATAAAATGCATTGTCCTCCACTAATTAACTATTATTTTCTAATTAAATAATCAAAAAAAAATCAAAATACTATTATTTAGATATTTTTCTTATTTTTTTTAAAGGCAAACTTTATTAAATCTATCTTTTTATACTTAATTTTAGAAACAATTCAAAAATCAAAATCTTGTCTCTAATAATTTTCTTAGAAAATAAATATTCAGTTGTTCTAAGAAATGTTGTTTAAAGTTCAGTTATTCATTTTTTTACTTTATTATAATTTATGATTTGTAATAAATTCATTCTCATAATTGTGAATAAAATTTTGATTTTATTTAAGTTTCGGATTCAACAGTTTTAAATCTATATCTTCATCAAGGTTAATTTGAATATCAAATTTAAATTATGAAAAATTATAATATATATTTAATTTATTTTTGCAATTTCTCCATATTAAAATTGGATGAAAATATTCGAGAAGTTGATGAAAAACATAATGATGTTATTGGCTATAAAATTGTAAATAAATGCATTTGCTATCTATAATCTAATTTTAAATAATTATCAAATATATAAAATATGACTTATACTTGAAAAGGTAAAAAAAGTAGGAATTACGAAAAAAGCCTTCAGCTGAAATTCTAGGTACAATATTAGAGGGAAAATAGTGTAAAACTAATAAATAATTATGAGAAGAATATAGGATAAAAAGATGTTTGATAAGATTTTGCATAAATTGGTTGATAATATAGGTTGTATGAATTTAGTGTAATCATTATAAAAATTATAAAAATTTGAATTAATATACCATAAATTCATTGAAAATAAAAAAAAAGTGTATAAACAAATTGATTTCATAAAAGGGATATTTTATATTTTGGGATCTTAATTGTATAAAATATTTTCATTAAGTTTTTATCTCATAAATAAAGTTGTCATTTTTCTAATTGATTTTTCTATATATTTATGTAAAATACAGGTATAGTAAATTATAATAATATAAATAATTTAATATATAAGATAATTAATGATAATCTAAAAGATGAAGATAATAGAAAATGATAAAAACAAAAGAATATCCATAAATAATTTAGTAGAATGATTTATACGAAGAAGTAAGAAAACAAAAGTATAAAAATATAAGTATTTAAGTAAAAAATAAATGAAAATGAAGATAAAAAAATGAAATTAAACAATAATATTATTATATATTATTAAATGAATAAATAGGAAGAAGAAAGGGAGAAAGATTAAGAGATGAATTAACTTAAGATTGAACTATAAGAATATAAGGAAAGGGAAAAAAGATTTAAGGATATTGCATAACATTTAACTTAATTAGAGGGAAGGTAATTATAATAAATAGTTTTAAGGTATAATGATTTAAAGGATTAAAAATGTATTAGTGAGTAATAGTTAAAAACATAGATTTAATAATATCAAAAATAGATTAAGTTATAATAGGAGGAGATAAAAAGTTTGAAAGTTTATATAGAAGAAGTGGAGGATAAAATTGATGAGAATGAATAATAATAAAATAAAGAAAAGAAGATTGTAGGAGATGAAAGTGTTGTAGTGAGTAAATTGAATAGTGAGAAAACTTTATTAGGAGAGGAAGTGAAGGGATTAAAATAAACAATAATATAGTATAAATATATGTATTTAAATTTAGAATAAAATAAGAGTATGATAATATATCAAAAGATTTCTATCAATTGAGTAAGTAAACTGACACAACAAAAAGTTAATTTACATAAGTATTAAAATATATTGAAAATAAATAAGATTAAAGAGGAATTGATGTTAAAGAATAAAGAATTAATTCATACAAGAAGATAATATTAAGAGGCTTTAAATTATATTAGTTAATAATAGATTAATGTTAAATAATTGCATAATAATTCAACAATAAATGAGTTGTCATAGACAAATTAACAATTATTGAGTTAAAATTAATAATTAAATAGAAAAATATCTAAATTGAGAGTGGATTTAGATAATGTTAAGAAGGCTCATTAAGAAATATTAATCGAAGCTGATATGCTAAGTAGAAATTTAGAATAATAATAATAATTGAGTGAATGTACAAAAAATTAGAGAGAAAATGTAAAAATTAATTAATGTTATAATTAGATTGGATAAGAATTAGAAAGAGTGATAAGAATAGAAGAACAATAATTTTAATAAAGAATAGCATTATTGAGATCTTTAAAAGATGAACTTATAGATACAAAATAAAGAAGCTTATTGAATTTAAGAAGATATAATTATTGATAATAATTTTTATAAAAATAATGTAAAAATCACCACAATAATTTTATGAAATCATTATCAATGAAATTTCGACAGTAGATTAGATATACAGTGCAATATTTGAATTGAGAACAATAAATAATATGGAAGCAATATAATTATTGAAATAGGGATTTAATTATTTAAATAAGGTAGAAAATAAATCATGTTTATTATTACATGAGATTGCTTATGCATTAGGATAAGCAGATTTAAGTTTGGAATCTTAGATTACTTAATTCTTAATAGATGTAATTAAAGATGAAACTTAATATGATGTAGTAAGACATGAGGCAGCAGAAGCATTAGCAAATATTAATTAAAAAGAAGCTTTAGAGATATTTGAATAATATTCTAAAAAGAATGTTAATGATAATTTAAATATCTTATAAGATACTTGTATTATTGGTTTAGAGAAGGCAAAAACAATTTAAGAACTTGGATTTTTATATGGAAAAATGTATTTAGGAACAAGAGAACCAGCTGCTCCTTTTTAAGAATTAGATAGAAATCCAGTTGAATACATATTAGATGATAATACTACATTATTTAATAAATATAGAGCATTATATTATTTAAGAAATAATGCTAATAAATATTTTGATTAAATAGATTAATTATTAATAAGTAATAAACTTGGAGCTTTATTTAAACATGAAGTAATTACTAATTTAATTCTAGATTTGTTTTGTTATTGGTTAAGTTGGTGAAGCTCCAAAATAAATTCATGAAGCATTAATTAATATGATAAAAGATGAAAATTAACCAGCTATAGCTCGTCATGAAGCTATTGCTGCTTTTTAAACAGTTAATTCAAATAAAGAAATTACTCTTCAAATTTTAAATTAATATTCAAAGAGTTAAGATTAAATAGTTAGAGAAACTGCCTTAGTATCATTAAAAATGATAGAATTCTATGGTTGATATTTATTATATATTAAATATTGATGGTATATATCTATATATTAATATGATAATTAATATTTTATAATGTAAACATAGTCTAAATAAGGATCTATTTATCATTGTTTATCTCCATAGAATATTAAGAGAGCAGTAAATAAAATTCAATGTAGAGAATAATAAAGCAATCCTTGTGTGAGATTCAATAATCAAGATAATAGACTTAAATAATTCTAAACTCTTCTTAATTCCTATATGTAGAGTAAATCACCATCAATTACTAAGACTATCTAAAGTAGAAAGAGTTTAAATGAACCTAGTATCAATAATATTGCAAGAATCTCTGTTACTCCATAAAAAAGTGAATTCTCAATTACACGCAAATAAAATACTGAGCATAAAGAATTCTTACTTTGTTAATCCATTTCAAGTCAAACATCTGATTTTGGTCCTTCAAACCAATTTAAACTTTAGTTATAATAAATATAACAAAAAGTACGTGAACGTTTTAAACGATATGAAGAAGAAAAAAAAATATTTTATGAAGAAAAAAAACTCTTCCTTGAAGAAAAAAAACAATTAATCTCAAGAATACAATAATTAGAATTACAAGTTTAAGAATATACCAAAAAAAAAGAAGCATTAGATCAATCATTTGGTTGATATACTACTAACAATTTTGTTTATATATATATAAATATATAATTTAACTGTTATGAATACAAAAACTATATCAACAAGATAACCATTATCATAAATTGATTTTAATCAAGATTTAGATAATTTTCGTACAACACCTAAACATAAATAATTCAAAACTGCTATTACTCTTAATAGTGATTATAAAAATAATCAAATTTACAATGTTCAATTCAAAGTCAAATAATAGAATCAAACAATTGATTAATCGACTAACAATAATATTAATAATAATAATGCAAGTAGACTAAATGAAAACAATGCTATTTTCATGTCTCCTGCTCCCCTTCGTAGGAATACATAATTTCAAATATAATAGTAATAATAGTAATAAATTACTTCACCTTTATAAAAGAATTATAGTTAGAAACACTTTTAAGCAAATTCTCCAATTACTAAACCTAATATATAATTTAGAGGAATATCATAATAACCAATAAATTAAAATGTTTCACATACTACAACTTAAAAGTTATAGTCTGATGTTGAAATTCTTAAGAATTAGAATCATGCATTATAATAATAAATATTTTAATTAGAATCTAATATATAAAGAGGGAATAGTACTTAATTCATTAAGGAATTGGAAAACAAGATTTAAATGCTTTAAAAATTGAATGAAAAATTAAATTAAGATAATCAACAATTATTAAAAATAAGTAATGTTGAATAACTTACTTAAGAGAGGGATTTATAATCTAAAAAATTATAAGAATTGGAGAGTTAATATGAGAATTTGTTAAAATAATTTGAATAATTTGATTGTAAGAAATGGAAAGAATTAGAATAAATGAATCAAGAAAACAAGATAGAAAAATTGGTAATGGATTTAGAAGATAAGATTACAGGTTTAATAATAGAGAATGAGAAATTGAATTAATAGATTTAAGAAGAAATGAAATTAGATTAGAAAGTGGAATAATTATAGTTAGAATTGCAATAATAATAGATTGCATATTAGAAATTGAAACATGAAGAAGTTTAATATAGATTTAGATATGATACAGCAAATTATGATGAGAAAGTAAGTAGGAGAGAAAAGCCAAATGATAATAAAGAGAAAGTGATTGAGAATGTAATATATTGAAATAAATTAGATAAAAATATTAGAAGAAGAGAATATAAAATTAAGAGAATTATTGAGAGAAATAGATTATGATGAGGAAATAAAAGATTTAGAAGATAGGGTAAATTATAATATATTTAACATAATATTAGATTCGTGTAATAGCATAGGATAATAGAAAATTAGAGATGTAATTATTACATAAATGATATATATATATATAATGTATTAAAAAATTAATTGAGAGACTCTTGATTTTATATGAATTATTAAATAAAATGAAGAGATGTGATTTATGTTAAATGGGTGCAAGAAGAAAGATGAGAGAATATTTATAAGAGAAATACTTTGAAGCATTTAATTTCTACTTTGCAAAACCAATAAATGAAATAATAGCATAGATTCCTCATGCCCCTCATGTAATATATTTTAAGGATTATGTAATATTAGATGAGAGGATGGAATATTTGAAAAGGTATATGGAATTGGTAATGTTATATTAAAAGATTCTATAATTAAGAAGAAGTTAAGCCACGTTTAGATATACTTACAGAGTTTTACATTTAGAATTATAAACATATGCATCCAAACTTAAGTGCAACAGATGCTTTTAAAATTATGAATAAGAGAAACAATAGATACGATAAATTGTTTTATTAGAAAGATCGAGAATAGACTCAATAATAAGTTATTAGTCGATAAGTATTGAATTCAAAATTGACAGATAATATAAGTTTCGAAACTCAAGAACATGACATTTATGAAGAAGGAACTTAAGAATTTAATAAATAAGGTTTTGATTTAAAAGGATTATAGATAATTAGAAATCTAAAATAATTGAATCAATCTGAATAATCAGACATCACTTTAAAAGATTGCATTGTATAAGTTAATCAATTATATACCAAACATAAAAAACAATCTATTAATTCAAAAAGTATCAAACTCAAGTACACTGAGAGCAATAAGAAAGGTATAATCAAATTTATTATATATAGGGAACAATTCTAAAAGTGAATCCAAAATATCTTCAAATACCAAACAAATTAAAGATGAACCTTTAGAATTAGGAAATGCAGTTCAACAATTTAATGATTTTGATACTAAACCTAAATTAACAAGAATGTAGAGTGATTCATAAACCATTTAAAGAATGCTAAAAGAATATTAGAAAATGAAACAATTAAGAAGTGCAGTCTCATCAGATTTATTACCTATCAGTACTTCTGTTTAAGGATTTTAAGGTTAATAAAAAAGTATTAGATAAGATCATAATAATAATAATGGAAGTATGCATAGTAGTACCTCAACTAAACAAGATGTTCTCAAAAAAGTTTATTAACCTTTGCCCAAAAAAATTACAATTCATCAAATTGATAAAATTGCCAAAGGTGGTTGTTTAACTGATAGAACTTTCAAAAGACCACCTCCTATTTCTGAAGATCTTATGCTTAAAATTCATGATTAAATTAAAGGTTTAAATACTGTTGAAACTAAATAAAAAGTTGAATTTAAATATATGATTCCATCATAGTATAATTCATAATAAAATTAAAAATTACTAAGTACTAAAGCTAAATCATCTAATTCTAAAAAAATTATTAGCGAATTAGGTACTAAATCATAACATATTAATAAATAAACTATACAAAAAGCAGATGAAATTGTTAAAAAATATATTCAATTTGCTTAATAAACTATGAAGAAAAAATTTGATTTTAAACTTAATTTATAAGGATTAAATGAAGAACCTTAAGAAGAAGAAATTTGTAATTTATTTATTATTAATTCTTTAAGCCAGCAAACGAAACAATTTCTATACAGAAAGACATAGTCAAGTCTAAGATAGAGAATAATTCATTTCTCATAGAAAAATCTTATAAAAATGAGAATTATATTTATTAATATTTAAATTATCAAATTTTAATGATTTTTTAGAATTTAATTTCAATACATATTTTAATTAAATTATGAAATCATAAATAATTTCAATTTATAATTTTTTAATAATGAATCTTATTCACTCCAAAAATGATTTACTAATTTAATAAAGTGTATTAGTTATAAAAAGAGAATGATATAGAATATAATAGTCATACTAGAAATAAATTTAAAATTCTAAGGTGGAAATATGAATCAAAATTTGGACTTATTTGAAATAAGAAAGTAGACAGTAAAAATAATGAGAATATTATTAGACAGAATTAGAACTTTATAAAATAGAAGAATGTTTATGAGATTTGTATTTAATATTGGAATGATAATTGAATGATAAAAATGATTAATCATTATGTTAAATATATTAATATGTTTTAAGATAAATATGGAAAAACTGTGAGTGAGTTCAATTAAAAGTACAATATTGTAGCAAATGCTTCTCAATTAAGATTTGAGGAGGGATTGTTAAATTATAAGTACAACTCACTTTTAGGTTAATTTTAAGATTGCCTTTTGTAGGATGTAATTATATATAATCACATTAAAAAAGATTCGAGCAGCAATACTAACAGCATAGAGAGGTTACTTGTCAAGGAAAGTATTGAAACATTACTTCAAAGAGCTACCATAATAATTGAGAGCAGAATACTATGGCTCATTATTAACATTGTATAAAGTAGTTGAAATCCGAAAATATAGGAATCACTTCGATAGCAATAACAGAATATGTTCTATTTCAGTGGCATGGGGAGTGGGATGAAAGTGGAGAAAGTTACTTGGCCATTCGTTGAGGGTTTTGGATTTTGCATTTGGATTTAAGTGGAGAATGTCAATTATGAATAATATAATGAATAGAACATGGGAGTATAAAAAATAATAAGTGTTCATGGATAAGGATAATAAGGAGGAGGTGGATTAGAATGCTTTATATTGAGAGGCAGTGTCTATTATAGGATAATTCCTGCAATATATTAAGAAGCAGATAATGGTGCAATATTGATAGGTCAATTAAAGAATGGAATGAATTTCATAGGTATATCACATGAATGCCCAAAGAAATTCACATCTTCACATTTAACTGTAATTTTAATTATGAATTTGAGTTATATTTCAACAATGAATAATCAAAGACAATGACATTAGACTTTCCTCGTTTAAATCAGAATATAGCATTAACAAGATTTACAATATGTGAGAATTTATTTGGTACAGCATAATGTGTAATAATAATGAATTAATCATCCACAAAGTATATAAATTCATAATTAGCTATCTAGAATTAAAACTATTCAATCAGTATATGGATAATTATAAATGGATTTCAAATAATTAAAAACTTTACCAGCATGTTTAGATAAATACTTTGAGAGAATTATGTCAATTTATATTCCTGAATTTGCAGATGCTAATCATATAATAGATGTTATGGGTAATTGTAATGCTACATTATAACCTAAAAGTGGATCAATTATAGCAGATAAAAATAAATTTCATTTCTAAGGAGGATTCAAATTATTTTATGTGATGTTACATCTAAGTGGAACACTATATAAATAAATCAATTAAGCATAACTTAATTTATCTACTATTTTCGAAGTCATTAATTATATCTTCAAAAATAATCATTAATTACAAGCAGAAGCATTCAATAATTAATTCTTCTTAACTATTGCTTCTATTATAATGAGTTTTGATAAACCCTTAATTAATACAAAATGTGTTGAATTATTAAGTGAAACCAAATCTCTTATAGGAGATAATCGATTATTGGATCACTTTTTTATTCATATCTTATGGAATCCAAAATTGCATTAATAATGCATCAGTGAATAAGTGTTCTCTAAATATTTGTAATTAGCATGTCAGGTTTATTTATAAAATCCATAACACTATCATCATTTTATTTCATCTAAAGATATTTTAGATATGCTAATATTTGCATACAATGAAAATCAATGTTGTGATTTACATTTTAATGATTATGAAGAGTCATTTCAAATAAAATTCTTAGAAAAGATCTTTTATTTGTTTAACCAGCAAACAGATATTTCTGAACATTTGATACTTTTTGATTAGTATCTTATGTCTAAAATATCACCTTGTCTTCTATTATAGATTCTCACAATTTTAAAAGTAAGAATAATTTAATTTGTTAGAACTTGCTAGTTGATAATGAAGATTAAGGAATTAAAACTAATTATATACTTTAAACATGGGATCAACGTAATATAATAGATTCATTACTTTTTCTATTTAAATCAACACCATATTATGATATTAGAGCTATGATTATTTATTTCCTTCATCTTATCTTTCAATAGTAATTCCCCAATCATAAATTATAAATCCATTAAGCTATTGAATATATCACTAATACTATTGAACCATTAGCTGAATTGAATCGTAGTTCCATTATTCATTCATAACCTATTAAAAAAGAATAACAATCTCAATAACAATAACCATAATAATAAGAAGACTTTGATGAACTCAAAAATCTTGGAACTCAATTCCTTAACAATGATTATGAAAGTGTTCCTTAAGCTCCATCTATGACTAATCGTCGTAAACCAGCTTAAGGATTCTTTGATAATAAATAAAGACCTCCTCCTAGAGCTTTATCTATACCTGCTCCTGAAACTGAAAAATCAAAACCACCTTCATTCTCTGTTGATTAAAAAGGAAAAAAGAAATTTCATATTAAAATTGATACTGATGCAATTAATGCACTTTATAACTTTGGAGGAGAATAAGGAAAAAAAAATGCATTGTATTATTATTCCATTCTATTTTAGTGACCATGAAGCATTCAATAAAGAATTAACAGAAATTAATAAATTAGCAAAAGCATGTCATATGTATATGTAAGGTTATAGAGAACCTGAAGAACCATATATTGAATCACCAAAATTAAAATAATAATAATAATAATAATAATAATAATAATAATAATAATAATAATAATAATAATAATAATAATAATAATAAACTGTTGCTAAACAACCATTGATGTCAACAAAAAATAGTTAAACATAAAAATAACAGTTTTAATAAGAATGTATTTTTATATAACTAAATTATAGTAACCTAAATTAAAGAAGTTTCATCATCTTCAATGTCTATTTAATAAGTTGAATAGGTTTAAAAAAAAAAAATTCAATCATTTGCTTCAATATATAATTAACTTATGGGTTGGATGATTGATAAAATTAAGGTTGGAGTAAATCAATCTTTAATGATAGAAGAAAAAGATTAAATCAAAAATGAAGGAATTATTAATGCCATAATAAAGATTGTTGCTTTTTCAATAGAAGATAATTTAAAAGCTTAAATTTTATAAGATCTACTATGTCTTTGTAAATCACATTAAGGCAATTCTATCCTAATTTTAGGTTAGGCAACTTTTTAGAACGAACTTCTAAAAATATTATCAACATAAGAGGAACAAAATTTAGTAAATAAATAATATGATTATTTAGATATATGAAATTGGATGCCGATTGCATTCAACACTTATTATTTAAGTATTAAAATCTGAATTCATAGGCGCAAATTATGTTTATGATTTATTAAAATGGGGTATTGATTATAATAAGAAATTGGTTGAAATACAAATGAATTCAATAATTGATTAGCTCTAGTATATTATTTATAAATTAATTATAATAGTGATTAGTGTAAGACTATTTAAACAGATTCTCAATTATGGAAAAATATAATGTAGATGGCTTTGTATTTAATAGAACTAAGATTAAATTATCCTTAATTGATTTAGAAATTTAATAAGTTCTATGATCTAATTAATAAGGATTATATGATTAATGGAAATTTAGAAGGTATGATATACTTATTAATGAATTTAAGAGTAAATTTCTAAGTTATCTAAATGTTTCAATCATCTTGATTTGGCATAAAAAGTCTAATCTTTTTTTAATACTAAGATCTAAAATCATTAAATATATGAGATTATATTAGAAAGCAGTGATTAAAAGAATTTATATTAATTACTTATAACGTATGCTTTAACATTGGAGATTTGTTAATATGAAATTACATATGGATTGACTCATATATTATGTAAGTTGAGGTAATGTGAGAATTTCAAAGACATGATTAAATTTATATGCTTGATCATATATGTTTCTAAGGAGAGAAATCATTAATCTTCATTAAAAAAATTGATGACAGAATTATATCAAGATTTTGAAATATTATTAGAGAGTCTTCTAGCTAAATCTTTTGAAGATGATTCAATATTAGACTAAATAAGTAATTAGATTAGTAGTAACAATGCTTTAAAATAGGAAATATAAATAAAAGCTCATATTCCATAATAATGGTCAATGGAATCTATAGTTTCTTCTTAAAAGAGCATAAGAGATATATAATAAATGGGAGAAAATAAATATATAGAAATAGAGGAGCGAAAAATATTATGGATATACAAGGAAAGTGAAAAAGAAAGAATAGGAAGAAATAAATATTATAAATCATTAAGTTCTTTATTTTTGAATGAAGGATGGCTGTCTTAAGGTTAAGGGTGCATTCAAAGAAATGATTTAGTTTAAGATATAGTTTAAGAAGAATTTGTTTAAAGTAAGTACTTTAAAATAAAAATATCGAAAATGATTACAAAATGTTTTGCAAGACCATACTTAAAAAGTATTCCAATAATTCCTGAAATCTTAAGAAATAAACCAGTATATTAGACTCCTTAGACTGCTCCGATAATATTAGATCATGAAATTGATAAATTTGAATAACTGTATGGATAGAGACAATCAACAAATTCCTAGGCAGTTTAAGCAGCCACTCAATTATTGAATATGGGGAAAGCTTTTGGAAATAATATAAAGAATGCTGTTAAGACAATTGCAAATTAAAAGAATTAAATAGTAGATAATTTTAAATCTTTTGGAGAGAATACGTTTAGAGGAAAAAAGGTTCTTGTTATTAATGGTCTATATATTTATCATGCTTTTTTGAGTTTAACAAATACACATCTTTTATTATAATATGAATATTTGAAAAGTGAAGGATCTCATGCTGCTTTAGGAGTATTTTAATTAAGAGAAGATTAGAGATTAATTAAGAAATTCCCAATTTATAATTTAGTATTGGTTATAAAAAAGAAATACTTATAAAAGAAGACAGCTTTGGAGATATTTTTCATAGATGGGTAATTATATATAATAGAGATGTAGGAAATCATTGTTTATTAATATTTCTGATTAAAATGATTTAGATGAAATATCTTCTAAGTTACTTAGACATAGAAAAAGTAATTAGGCTCCATATTTCAATTAGAGTAAAACAACTGATCCAGCAAAGTTATTAGAAAAGTAGGGATATTTGTAGAAATGGAATAAGTATAGTATTATTAATAATTAGATAATAAATGAGTAATTTTAAATATTTACTATTACTTAATAATTTGGCATCAAGAAGTTATAATGATTTAACTTAATATCCTGTTTTTCCATGGGTAATTTGTGAACCAAAAGATTAATAATTAGAACATGAAGCTAATATTCGTATATATCCTGAAGGATAATTGAGAGCAATGTAAAAAACTATGGGAGCATTGGGTAACAATTAAAGAATAAAGAGTTATATTGAAAGATTTGAATAATCTGAATAAGGTGGTGAGATTCCAGCATTTCATTATGGATCACATTATTCATCATTAGCTATTACTTCTTAATTTCTAATTAGATTAGAACCATTTACATCAATAGCAAAAGAGATTTAAGGAAATAAATTTGATATTCCTGATCGTTTATTTTATTCTCTTGTAGAAAGTTTTCGTTGTGCAACAGAAGATATTGCTGATGTTAGAGAATTAATTCCAGAAATGTTTTGTTTGCCTGAAATGTTTCTTAATTTATAGAATTTGTAATTTGGTAAAACTTAAAATGGACTTCTTGTTAATAACGTATAATTACCTAAATGGGCAAATAATAATCCTTGGAAATTTGTTACAGGTTAAAGAAATGCACTTGAAAGTGAAGAAATTTAAAAAAATCTTCCAGAATGGATTGATTTAATTTTTGGATACAAATAAAGAGGTAAAGAAGCAGAAAAAAATTTAAATATTTACTTTTATGTTACATATGATTAATAACTTACTTTATAAAAAATGGAAGAAAATAGACTTAGTATTGAAGCTTAGGTTGTAAATTTTGGAATCACTCCTTTATAATTATTTTTAAAACCTCATATTGGAAGATAGATTAATTCAGATCATCATTTTGTTTCTTATTCTTAAGAATTAAAAGTTTATAGACCATAAAATAAAAAGAAAGTACCTAATACAATGAAACCAATAATTGATTTTTAATAAGCAAGTAATAGAGCAATTGTTAAAATTAAATGGATATCAGATGTTAGATTATTATGTATAAGAAAAGAAGGTAAAATTGATTATCTTAAATGGACAAGTTAAATTGATGTTTAACCTAATTAACCACCATTTTAATGTGGATTAGAAAGAGAAAAATAATTCAATTTTGAAAAACCTCAAACTGAATTATTTAATATTTGGGATGTATCAGCTTAATTATCATCTTACCCTTTAATTATATTTAATTAGGGTAAACTATTTATTTGTGGAGGCTATCATCTTGGTAAATTAATTATTATAAGCGATAATAATTAAATCGTTGATATTTATTAAATACATACCAATACCATTACTGCATTAGCTTCAGATAAAAAAGAATCCATGATCATCTCTGGAGATAAAAGTGGACATGTTATACTTTGGAAAGTTGATAAACAAAAAGATATCTATAAATTAAATGCCAAATGTATGTATTTTGATCATTAAAATTAAGTAATTATAATAACTATTATTTAGATCAATTGTATTAATGTATCTACTAGTATGAAACTATTTGCTACTGGCTGTATTAATGGGTACATTTATCTATATAATCTATACAATGGTCAATTTATGAGATCATTTGTTCATCCTAATAAGAATCCTATCAATGCTATTGTTATGAGTAATAGACCAATCTTTTGTATCGTTTTCTATTCAGCATATGATCATTAACTTTATAGTTATTCTATTAATGGATTCTTATTGGAAGTTCAATAAGAACAAAGCTCATCTTTAATTGACTGTTAAATTATGAGGAATCATCTCTTTTAAGATATCATGGTAATACTTAATCATATATATTTCATTAGATTTATGGAACTGAAAATGGTGAATTAGTCAGAAGATCTTTACCTTATTTATAATAACTTAAAAGATTTCAAATATCAGCCAAATCCCCTGTTTTATCAATATCTTGTTCAAAAGATAAGAAATTTTTCATTTGTGGATGTAATGATGGTGAAATTTCGGTCATGGCCGAACCTCAATAAAATAAATGAATTATAAAATTATATAAATTTAATATTTAATTTTTATGAAAAACGTGAACAAATTTGTAATATTCTCACTTCTTTTAGTACTAAACTATGCAATGGAAGATATGGATATGAAACAATAAATTGAATAACTTGATTAACATAGATTTGGGCATACTCTTCTTGATACAATTTACCTACAATTACAAACTTAAGAGCCAATTGAAAGATTAATGGGAACTTTGCAATAAATTGAAGATAGATACTATTAAGATTAAAAGGAGGAGGATGTTTCACATAAAGAATATTAAGATTCTTGTACTGTGGTATTAATTGTCAATTTTCATAAAGGATCTGTAAAATTTGAATTAAAATATCAAAATAAGCGATAATGAACGCATAAAATTGGAAGCAAGATTGGAAGGGGAACTTTATCCAAAAAGAGATATTTTACAAAAATTGATTGTTTAAAAGTAAAGTGAGCTTAAAGAATTCAAAGGAGAATTGAATGAATTAGATTAATAAAGAGAAGAAGAAAATGAAGAACATCAACATAAAATTCATGAACATGAAGATGTTATTTCAATATTAATGTAAGCTAGAACTCTTTTTTCAGAGAATCTCTAAACACATGATAATTCTTTTATTTAATTAAATAATAATGGAATTGAATTACTTTAGAAACATTTTGGAGCATCAATAAAAAGAGCAAGTATTTATGATTAGAAAAGACATAGGTAAATTTACTTACAGAACTTCATGGGGTAAAATGTTTAAAGCTTTGGCTACCATAACCTCAAGAGTTCATTAATTATAAGATTCTGCTTAAGTAGAGAATGTCATGTTGCTTATTGATTAATTATTAGATTAAGTTCATGATTCTATGGATCTTGAAAAGTTCTCAGAAGAAAAAAGAATTCAAGCTTATACAAAGACTAGAAATTTATTAGTAATTTCAATAAATACAACTGAAAGCACTTTAGCAAATGCAATATCAGATTTAGCATTGTAATTTATTATAATTATAAATTCTTAAGAGTAAATGAAGTGATTGAATAGACTCAAGCCACTCTTGATAATGTAAATTAAAGATTAGAAATGCTCGAATAATCAAGAGACGACCGATTCACTATTTGTGAATAAGAAGCTTAAGATTATTAAGATGCTAGATCATAGCGGTAATAATTCCATCTATTTTTAGAGATTCTGATAGAGATGTTGTCTCTTAGACTATTGGATTACTGAATAAATCATTAAGAACATTGAAGGAGTAATTAGCATTACGAATGTCAGCAGGAGAATAATTTGAATATTGATTTATATTTGATTTAATATTATCACTCAATCTCATAGTCTGACATCCGATCATTATTTCTTTTATTAATCTCATCATTATTTAAATTATTCACTTAAAGCTACAGAAATATAGCAAGACTTTTTAATATTATGAAACTTAACCTAAATATTTATCAAAATAAATCAATTATTATTCCAAGAGAAACGTTGGCTTTTTCAATCCAACACAAATGCTAACCAATCTTAGTCTAATAGTTTGTTTTGAATGTTTGATCTGTTTATTGATTTAATTCTAATTTATTTTCTTTGTATTGATCCTCTTGTACTTAAACATTAATCTACAGAAAATTCTTTTCTTTTTTAAAATGATGATTCAGGTCTCACTGTAATTATTGCTTTTTTATTGACATGACAAATCTTGTCAAGAATTTCTTTAGCATGTTTCTAAGTTGGAGTCACATGATGACATTCAAACAAAGGTTTCTTTGTATAGAAATTTTTGTGTTTTAAAAACCTTGGTCTAAAGGAGTAATTTGATTCTTCACTCAATAATAGCGATCCTTCAATATAAATTTTTTATCCAATCGATTTATGTCTCATTAAATAAAATATAATATTTTCGTCATTAAATACTATAATAATTCATAATAAAACATCATCATATCAAACAATCAAATGTAATTAGGACACTAAAGATTTAAAAAAAGATTTATAAATACAACATTAGTATTTTAAATTTATAATCAAATAAAAGATAAAAATAGGATTGTAAATAAGTGGACAGTAATAAATAATAGAAATAATTTTTATTTAATTAAAAAAAAATAAATATTTTGGACTCACAAATAATATGCTAATGATGAGAATTTAAAAAAGAATAGAAAGATTTGATGATATGATGATTAAGTTTTTAAATAGTAGGAAACAGAGAAATTTAATTGAATATATTTATTTTTATTAATGATGTATATTAATATTGTGTAATAAAAAGTATGAGCTATTATTAATTTTGAAATTAATGAAATATTTGAAAACGATATTTAGGTTAGATTTATTTAATAAAAGTAATTGATAATAATATATAAAACAAAATGAGCTCTATTTCCATTTAAAGACATGTGAATTTTGGAGAAGTGATATTGATAGTTGGAGATTGTCATTTAGTGTAATGGAATGTGTAAAATGGAATTTAAATGGAATGGAATCCAGGTGATATATGGAGAGCTAGAGTAGAGTGTTGTTGTTTACCAATGAATTATAGATATGTAATAGTGAAATAAAACAATCGTCAGATTGTAGAATGGGAAGATGGAATAAACAGAGTTTTGAATAATAAGAATGATGTAGAAGATGTTTGGGGCCACATAAAAATAAGAATGAAAATGAATTCATATGTAGATTCAAAGATGTTTGTAAATTTATATTCAGAAAAGGGAAGATCCAAGATTAGACTTAATTAATTCGTTACTGAAGAGAATGAGTATGAATAAAAATTGGAATTAGATATCCCAAGTAAATCCATTAATTCGTATGCTTATAAATACTAACAAAATCAAAAATGGGAACGAAATGGAGTTAGATTATTTAGTAATCATTCCATTATTAATAATGTAATTGAGATCATAGATTCTGATGTGAATTTTGATCTTAATTACAATTAAATATTGGAGAATATCTACGTTGGTTCATTTGTGTATTGTGAGTAAGATATAGAAATAAGTTTTTAGTGAAATTCATATTCTATAGAAATTAGGAGTAGATGCCATAGTTAATTTATAAACTGTTGAGGATCTAATTAATAAAGATTTACCAGAAGATTATTTTGATCAAATCAGAAAGACTTGTGAATCTTATCAGATAACGTATTCACATTGCCCAATAAGAGATTGTAATAAAAGATCTTTCCTTAAGAAGGGTAAGTAGGCTTATTAGATTTTGAAAAAACTGGTTGATGAAGGTAAGTGTGTCTATGTGCATTGCACTGATGGCATTTAGAGAAGCATTTAAACAATCATACTCTATTTAGTATAAGATTTAAATTATTCTCTTGAAGATGCTATTGCACTTGTCAAAGCTATTAGAAAGAGATCAAAACCTATTAAAGAAGTATTGCAATAACTCTTAGAATAGTGAATGATTTTGTTATCTAATATTTGTAATTTATTTAATTATTTCATGAATTTTTTTGTATTTATTTATTATATCATTTGCCATCATATTGGGTAAGGTTGTGTTTGAAATGCTCTAATTGTTCTTCTGCATGATGTCTATCCAATATTTATTGATTCAAATTCTTCTCATCTGCTTCAAGTCCTTTTCCAAATCCCTATGTTTATTAATTCAAGAAATCATACCAATACATATCTGGGTGGTTATTTGAAATGGCCAAACTAAAATTAAAATTGAATTATACTGTTTCATGTAAGACTCCTGGGTCTTAATAGGCACAATAGAATCCTATACCACAAGTGAGATACAACATGATTCTTCCAAATCTGTAATCTACTGGAGATACCCATCCTAAATGACTTTGATTATGCCCTTATTAAGCTACAAAAATGCATTTTCAATTTACCAGTCAAATTTTAGTACTTGTTTTTATTGAAGAGCAACTTGAAATTCCTATTAAAAATGCTAGCTTTTTGCATAAAATTATAGATAAATTATATATTAATTACGAAAAGATAAAAATATAATTAAAATAATATAAAAGTCACTTTCATTTATTTTCTAATTGAAAAGAATCGTCGTCCATCTAAGGTTCATCTTCATCTAATTATTTATTAATTTAAGGTAGTTAAGTAAGTTTGTGTTAGGTTGAAGGAGCACCTACGTTAATTAAAAGGATACCTTTTTATATATAATCAGATTAGATTAAGTTTATCAGTAGTTTGCCAATTTATAAACTGCATGCAGCACAATCAATAGAAATCTTTTTGTCAATAGATACAAGTGTTCCAAACTTACTTTTATTATCTTGAATAACAAAATTGCCATCTGTTAATTTGATAGTGGCATGGTGTCTAGAGACAGTAATGTCTTATGCTTTAATATCACATTAGAATCCTCTTCCCTTGAATATTTAGAAAAGATTTACAATTTTAATATTGTCAATTAGAAGACTATGAATTAAATAGATTTCATTGCATAAGTTCTTTTCTTTATTGATGTTCTAATGATAATGATTAGAATATACTTCGACGAGAATGTATTGTAAATCAGGTCTTTCAAGTGTAAAAAGATCGAAGTATTGATCATCATACTGAACTCGAATGGGGAGACTTTCTTTACAAATAGAACATTCATGTTGTTTGATCCTAATGTAGAGAATTAAATAACCATTTGAGAATCAATCCAAATTGAGTTTCTTCTTTGATTATGTTAGAATCTACCCAGTAACGTAAACAATCCAAATGAACAGCTTATCCATTTCCAGCACAACGACAGATGTTGGTAAGAAAGAGTTAATCCTTACTCTGTCTTCCTTCCATGAAACAAAACTTGCACTAATATGTCAAATTGTTGTTACTAAGGAAGGAGTGCTAAAATTTGATTGTCAAATAAGAATACTTTAACTGAGCAGGGAGATTGAAAAGTATGCATATCCTTGTTACGTTCTTCAATGACCTTGTACTCACTTTAAATTAATAGTGTATAATTAGTACACTCTTCCTAAGCGAATGATGGAGTTAACTACAAGAGGATATTCAGATCCATTCTATGATTTGATATCTTTGACAACCATAAAGATTGGCTATATTGCTGACAAAAGGATTTCATATTGATTTTCTAAAAATTGTTCATATATATCTAATAGGTTTACTTGATTTGCTCACTTTTAAGAGGGCATTCCTGTTTGGCAAGATCTCAGTACTCTCTGTATAAACTTGATCTTTAAAAATGCATATTATATTACTATCCTCATATATTGTTGTTGAACCACCTCTAAATTTCCATACTGGGAACGTGTCTGTCTATTCATGATCTATTAGACCAATTCCTTATTTCTAATCTTATTTGATTTACACTTCTAAGTTGCTTTTATAGGCTGGCATAATTATAATCATCTTTCTAATTAATTAAAATCGTTAATGAGCAAGGTGTTCTCTCCAGATTAACGCAATCTAGGAGGTCGGCGAATTATTTTGTAATAGATGCTTTAACATCTACATCATGTTGAGACTGTCAAAAGCACTCTCTCATAAACCAATTCAAGTACTAAATTACTTAGACGAACCCCCTCTCCTGTTTTCAAATTCCTTGATCAATACAAAGAAGTCATCAATACATTTGATAAAGTATAAAAAATACAATAAAAACGACCATCCGTCGAGAAATTTAAAAACAATTACTTCCTCAAAAAAGTCTAAACCACCAATACCGAACATCAAAAGAATTTTGAAAAATGTAAAAAGAGAATCCAAGAAATGAACAACAAGAACAAGACCACAATAAATCCAGCTCTCTTCTTTAGAAGAATCGATAAGAGTCTTATCAATAAGACTTGTCCAATAAGTAATCAACTTCAATTTAATAAGTGCAGCCACGGCCACAAAAAAAAGAAATACAATAAGATATTGATTGGGAAAGCATTGCTAAAAAAATACCATAATTAAGTGATCCTCTCTTTAAAAATAAAATAACTGACTTGATTGTTTCTAACAGGATCTATAGTGACGATGATTATGCATTCCTTGTATGCCTTATTTCAAGTGTAAATAATGCTGAATAATCCAAAATCATATTAATCATGAGCTAAATATTGAATGAGTTGGGATTGTTGTGATTTTAAACTATTATATAATAATTACTTTTTTTTATTATCTTTTTTTTTAACAATATATGTATTTGTATATTATTTTTATAATATATTTGTAAATGTAATAATTAGAAGAAATCATAAAAAAATACCCAAAATATATGCCAACTTTAGTCAGATATGAAGAGCCAATTGAAATTAATGAGGATGAAATGTAACTTGAAATGCAAGAGTAAGTGTTAAATTAAAAAAAAAAATAATAACTGTAACCTTTGGATCAAAAATGGTCCATTGATGAAATTTTGAATAAATTTTTTCCTCCTAGAAGATTTGAACATGAGGGACATTTCTTTAAATAGATTGTTAGTGTCAATGATGTCAAGAGAGATGAACTTAATTAATTAGAAGAAGAATTGAATCAAAGATTATTTGAAAGATAGGCTCGGTATTTAATTTAAATATAAATATAATAGTAAGAGTGGTATATGTCCAGTAAGAGAAGATTTACATAGTTAATTATTTGAAGAGATCATAAGATAGAGTGCTATCAATTGTCCAGAAAGAGGACTATTATTAATGAGAGTATATGATAATTTGAAGTTAACCTTTGCAGCCTACCAAACTCTTTATGCTGGATCTGTCGTATTTGGAAATAGAAAAGCAGCAGAATCTGAAATTGGTAAAATTGAATAGGATTCTAAAATTGCTGATTATGATAAGAAAAAAATTTATTTAGAAAATTAAAAAATTTTATTAGAGAAGGAACTAGATGCTATTTAGAGAAGTTTTAAAGAAATAAGAGAATTGGAGGAAAAAAGAATGGAACAGGAAATGCTATTTTTAAAATAATAAACTAAACATTTAGAGCTTTTTCTGAAATAAGTGCAATAGAATTAATAATGATTTATTTAGAATATTGATATTAATTTATATAAGTTTATAGAATTCCTTTTACTTAATTAAATGAAGTTGTCATACTCTATTATTGACATGACACAATGTAAATTATAAACATTCTAGCTTCTATCTAACTTACATCATTTTTTTGTTCTTTGTATTCATTCCTATATATCACAGGATATGATTAATAAATCATGACACAATTCTATTTTCAATATAACTAAAATAGAATTATATATAAGNAACAGGATCTATAGTGACGATGATTATGCATTCCTTGTATGCCTTATTTCAAGTGTAAATAATGCTGAATAATCCAAAATCATATTAATCATGAGCTAAATATTGAATGAGTTGGGATTGTTGTGATTTTAAACTATTATATAATAATTACTTTTTTTTATTATCTTTTTTTTTAACAATATATGTATTTGTATATTATTTTTATAATATATTTGTAAATGTAATAATTAGAAGAAATCATAAAAAAATACCCAAAATATATGCCAACTTTAGTCAGATATGAAGAGCCAATTGAAATTAATGAGGATGAAATGTAACTTGAAATGCAAGAGTAAGTGTTAAATTAAAAAAAAAAATAATAACTGTAACCTTTGGATCAAAAATGGTCCATTGATGAAATTTTGAATAAATTTTTTCCTCCTAGAAGATTTGAACATGAGGGACATTTCTTTAAATAGATTGTTAGTGTCAATGATGTCAAGAGAGATGAACTTAATTAATTAGAAGAAGAATTGAATCAAAGATTATTTGAAAGATAGGCTCGGTATTTAATTTAAATATAAATATAATAGTAAGAGTGGTATATGTCCAGTAAGAGAAGATTTACATAGTTAATTATTTGAAGAGATCATAAGATAGAGTGCTATCAATTGTCCAGAAAGAGGACTATTATTAATGAGAGTATATGATAATTTGAAGTTAACCTTTGCAGCCTACCAAACTCTTTATGCTGGATCTGTCGTATTTGGAAATAGAAAAGCAGCAGAATCTGAAATTGGTAAAATTGAATAGGATTCTAAAATTGCTGATTATGATAAGAAAAAAATTTATTTAGAAAATTAAAAAATTTTATTAGAGAAGGAACTAGATGCTATTTAGAGAAGTTTTAAAGAAATAAGAGAATTGGAGGAAAAAAGAATGGAACAGGAAATGCTATTTTTAAAATAATAAACTAAACATTTAGAGCTTTTTCTGAAATAAGTGCAATAGAATTAATAATGATTTATTTAGAATATTGATATTAATTTATATAAGTTTATAGAATTCCTTTTACTTAATTAAATGAAGTTGTCATACTCTATTATTGACATGACACAATGTAAATTATAAACATTCTAGCTTCTATCTAACTTACATCATTTTTTTGTTCTTTGTATTCATTCCTATATATCACAGGATATGATTAATAAATCATGACACAATTCTATTTTCAATATAACTAAAATAGAATTATATATAAGTATAAGATTTGTTTCAAAAGGCATGTTCTCTTGTGGTAAATTTCTTAAACTAAATTGTGATCCTATTTGATAAATGTTTCTAAATAATAATTATTAATTCAATTTTATGTTATTATTGATTTTGTTATTGTAGGTGATTTTATCACAGTAGTAAGATTAGTAGAGCATTGAATTACAGATAGAGAAACAATATGAATTTTATGGGTAATAGTTGAATAAATAGATTATATAGGAAAGTGCCAGGATCGTCAACATCTGTTCTTTATCCAGTTCACTTTTATAAATTCCTTGTTGAGAATGTGATACCAAATGAGGATATATTTGTAGTATTGAGAGCACTTCATGATTAAAGCTCTTTTCCTTCGCTTTACATAAGTAAGGTGAATTAATAGTAAATATGAATAATAATTAATAAGTCCATCAATATATGATGAGTTATGTGGTAATAAAGGGATGGATGTTTGTATAATAGAAGAAAAAGAGTTAATTCCAAATAGCACTTATTATTTGGGAGTATATTGTTTATAGGATTGTGATTATGAATTGACAATTCATTACGAGGAGGAAGAGGTCTTAGAATTAGGAGAAGCAATGATAGTGCAATTTGAGAATGAGACAGAGAGTATTTTAAAGATTAGGATGCCTAATTCAATGGATTCAGTTGATAGAATCATAATAAGAGCTCATTACATTTAGGATAAGAATAGTGTATTGAATGAATCCTTTTATTTTTATATCAATGAGGGGAATGAAACACCATCACCAATTTAAAATTAGTATGAAGCAGAAGAGATTTGGATGATAGGAAAAGGAGTGGTAATATATAAAAATAGTACTAATCTTTAAGGGAATTTAACAGTATTATTAATAGGTGTTCCAAATACAAGATTATATTTCCTATCAACATTGTATGAACATGTCAGAGAAATAGGATTATTTGAAAGAACTGATGACTTAGTATTAGATAGAAAGATTAATTATTATAGATTAAGAATATAGGATGAGTACTTAGAATTTTTGGATGAAAATTCATTATCTTTTGATATCCATCCATTTGAAGGAAATCCTAATATTTATATATCTCCATGCAAGTTAGATGAATGTTCAATGGATTATAAATAGTATCCTTGGTAATCAGAATTAGACTTTGGATACGAATCAATCACGATTTCTCCAAATAATAGAATTAATAATGGGAATAGTAGTTAGTTTATTATCGCAATAAATGGAATGGAGGGATTTTCTAGTTATTCATTTTTGGTTTATTTAAGCAATTATTATAGTAGAATATTATCTGTTTATGCATATGAATCTGGATTTCTAGTAAAAAATGAATTGGCAGAATATATAGTCGGAATATTTGATTAGAATAGTTAAACATTTACAATAACTTCAAATTATCCCACAGGACATGGGATGATCATTTTAAAGAAATGTATAAAGAATAATACAGAATTAAGTGATGTGACAAATTCTTTTGCTTATATTGTAAATGCAGGGAGTGATAATTTTTATAATTGTTCAATCACTAAAGAATAAATAGATTAATTATAAATGGCTGAAGTCATAAAATCAGGAACATCAGAATTGAATTCAGCTGAAAATACACTACAATTCTATTACAATAAGACTGAATGTGAGAGTAATGTAACAATGCTAAAGTATGAAAACGTATAAACAAATTGTTAATATGTGATAGGAGTATACAGCAATGTTGAATATATGAATTATCAAATATTTATTAAAGGATAAGAGAAACATATTGAATTAAGAGAATCCACTACCTATCGTAGTTATCTTATGGAATATGACACTGATTTATTTTTATTTACAATTCATGAAGATGAAATAACTGAAGTAGTATTTTAAATCACAGCTATTACTGGAGAATATGATGCATATGCTTCAAGAATCTATCAAAAACCCAATTCTACTTGTTATGATCGATATGCTAATATGGAATTAGATATCTTATAATATAAATCAGATACTCACTCCTCAAATTTAGCAGGCACTTATTATATAAGAATAATAGCTAAGGCAGTACTTAGATATACAATCACTCCCATAATCTATAGGGAATCTCATGATGAAATTAATTATATTCATCTTACTGAAAGTATTTCCTATACACATTTGTAAACCAAAATAGATTAAATTACATACTTTAATTTTGAATATAGACAGAATGGCCCTCTCTTTATTCATCTTAATGGAATCTATGGCTATTTCATTTCCTATATAATAGGCACCAATAAAGTAATGGGTGATTAGTTTCCAAATCAAACATAAAATAATTTTACACTTAGAAGTTCATAGCATACATTAATCCTTGAAGATCCAAAATAATATTATTATATATAAGTCAACTCTCTTTCTCTTGGCCTTAATGAATCATATGAAATACAATTCACTTCTTCAAGTTCACTTATGGAATTATTCTATGGAGATCCTCTCATTACTTAATTAGATAATTAACATCAATCTTATTATTATTATCTATCTCCTTATAATTTAGAGAAACTTTTCATTATCAGAACTTATATTACGGAGACCAATGAAAATAACAACTTAAGAATCTTCGTCAGTCTTAAAAATAAGTTCCCCAATCAAGAAAATTATGATTATGAAATTAGTGATAACTCTGCCTATTTGACTTTACCAAATATCACTGAAAATAGTGTTGTGTATATTGGAGTCTAAAGTATTGGTTACAATGAATACTCATTATTAATTAGAGGTGTCTCTGGTATAATTGAATTATCTGATAATACTGTCTAGTAAGTTCCTATTCCTTCCTTTGAATAATACCAACAATCTAACTTGTACTTCCTAGTGCCCAAAGATCTCAATAATACTATTCAAATTTAAGCCTACACTGAATTTACAGAAATAGAATTACTTTGTTCAATCAGAGACTATTAGAGTGTTACTAAAGAATTAAAAAGTAATAATCACAATATATTTCCAAACTCTTCTAATTATGACATCGAAGAAGAAATCAGTGCTAGTGATTCCAATAAATTATTAATCATCAAATAAGAAGATCTCATTAATTGTTAAAATTATAAATAAGGTTGTATATTGTTGATTACTGTGAAAGTAGATTAACAATCATTATACTCGTACATCTTTGGAAATACTTATAATAACATATCAACAGTAGATGGTGAGGATGGTTATTTTAATGTAATGATATCTACTTAATATGCCATAATAAGAAATGGAGAAATGCTGATTGGTTACTCTGCGGAGAGTATTATGTCTTATTATTATTTCTATGTTGACAATCCTGTGGAATTCATATAAATAGCAGCAAGACCATTAGATGATTGTGATCCGGATCTCTATGTCAATAAATTGATAGATGATGTCATCTCATATCCTACTGAAGATTCAAATACATATAAATCGATCTAATATAAATCAGATGTTCTAATTATACGAGATTCTAACATTATTGGATCCTACATAATTGGAGTAACTGGATTTAGAAAAGAATGCACATATGAATTGCTCTTAAATTTAGCAGACATTGAGTTGTATTACATTTCAAATGGTCAATTTACTAGTCATTAAATAAATTAGACTGTTTATTATTTCTATCAGCATATCAGAAGAGAATCATTTCGTATAATGATACAAGGAATTAATAATGTTGATGTAGCCATTAATACATACTCATAATATAATGATGATGATGATGGTCTATTTGACTTATTACCTTATTATGGAACAGATGACATTCAAATATTGCAGGAACATAATGATAATCTATTTGGGGGAATCATATAGATTAACCAATAAAACAAACATTTTTGTTATTATTGTACATACATCATAGCTCTAAAACCATTGAAGAATTCTGAGATCTAACTATTAATAGCATACAATTCAATAGCATTGGAAATTGAGTATGGTAGAATATATTATGATTAATGTGTTGAGAATTGCAAATATTACATTGAACCAGGAGATTTGAATCTATTTGTATATTCCTAAAAACTTGAATTGCACTTTTATGATGAAGAAACCTTGGTATTCACTCTGAATCTAACTTATTCTCAACACATCATTCCAATCAATTCATCTTATACTCTCAATATTCTCAATCCATATTCATACACAGTAGCATCTTATAAATTGAGTTTATAGAGTGAATCAAATTATGTGAATCTGCATTTAGGTAAATCATACAAAGGCAACAACACAGATTAATCCAACATTACACAATTCACCTTCACCCCTATAACAATTGATTAATGGTATACTATTATTGTGAATTCCTAATCTAATGTTAGAGTGGAATTATTTTATATGACTAAAAATGTATCTGAATTTATACTACTCAATCCAATCTAAGAATGGAGCATTAGTACATCATAAATAGAATTAAAATATCAACTAATTAATATCAATTACTACTATAAGATAATCTTACAATGTCAAGACTTCTATGTAATAACTATAAATCTAGATGGTTTGAAATATCTTGACTCTAATTATCATTACATTGAATAAATACAATCATCGCAAATCTATAATATGTTCGGTGTCCCAGGATAAGAATTAATGATTGAAAAAATAGATTGCCTAGGCTAAACTGATTCTAACCTTACTTCTTATCAATTTAATAGTACAACTGATATCTATTTCAACATTACTCCAACTAAATTTGCCAGTTACACTAAAGATGGTTTGTCTATAAGGAAGAACATTTTTAGTTTAGTACCACATTTATAATAATCCCACGATTTATGGTATGTTAATACAACCATCAATTATCAAGTTTAATATAATGAGGATCAAACACTCACAGTTTCAGTAGATACTATGAAACGAAATAAGGCTGGTATTTTAGATCTGAAAATACTAATGTAATTATCTGATTGAATTTTAGTTATCAATTGCACTATTCAAATCAAGAAACTTTTATGTAGGCTTTTGGTTGTCAAATGGACATAGAATCCCTCAAGTACTACACTAATAGTTAATTATACCATAGTAAATCTCTCTAAACCATCAAAGAGAATGATGATTTCGTGTCTTTCAAAGGTATATTAGTAAATATCAATCATCTTTAGTACCTCTACCTTAGGATCAGAAAGTACTTTATGGCTTAATTGTATTCTAAGCATTCTATCAAGGATATGACACTCCTTACACTTATTTCTACAATACTAGTTTAATTTACAATAATACTTAATAACATGATATGAACATACATGAAGAAGTGAAACAATCAGATGAAAGTTACATTTTTATTGTTATTGTCATCTTAACACTTTTTGTTCTATTAGTGTTATTTATAGGAATAAGAAAGTTTATTTAGAGGAGAAAACTTATGACATTGGAAAAACCAAAAAATATAACTGTAGATGAAGAATAGGAGTAAGTGAAAGTGGCATGATTTAATTAGTTATTTTGTTAAGGTTAAAAAATCATATGTATCTATGAAAATATACATAATTTATTTTAGATAACCTATATCTTTTTTGGATTTCATTTTATTGTTAATTATATTATCATTTTCTTAGATTAATTTATGCAAGTTTTAGAATTTCACATTTATGAAACATAATGGATGTTACGTAAAGGAAAGTATAAATGCTTTATAAACATATCTGAAAAACATCTCACACATCATTATTAATAGAGTGAATTGCAAGGAATATAACTACAAATGTAATTAATTCGTCGATTACTTTATTGTCGATTGAAAGTTCTGCATAAACATTTTCTTAAGTTCAATACAAAATAGGGTAGAATACTCACTCAATTAGATAATTGTATGCAACTATGTCATACAATGTAGAATTACTTAGCCAAATGTTAAGATGTATTAACAGAACGGGAGAATCCTTCTAACCGCAAGAATAAGTTCAAATTATTAGGAGATATGTAATCACCTAGAGGCTATTCTAAACTCAAATAATTCATAATTGAATTTGAACATGAACCTTGGGATAAAAAATCACTTATTTGGTTGAGATATCAAGAACAAGAACTTTTCATTTCTATTCAATAAATATTAATGTTTAACTATTTGTATTTCAAAATGACTAATCTCAAAGAAGCAACTCGCTTTTTATAGAAACTCATTTAACTGAAATTTGTAAAAACTCAAAAATCAGTTACAATATATCATGAAGCATAAACCCTCCTTCATTCAGCTTATTTTGAAAACTCTTATGTCTTTCATAATTAATTCTTTGACCCAATCTCAAATATGCTCATTAACTCTTTACGTGAGTATTACCGTCCAAACTCAAATTAGGACAAATGCAAAAGACAGATGAAACACTATGCTTAACTATTAATTATCAATCTGGATTTGTAAAGCAAATCATTAGAATACAAGGATAAATATGATGAATCAGCATTAATGATTACTATGGCCAATTATTTATGTCAACATATTTTGACCTTTGTAGGTAACTAAGATGAATTAATCAATTACATTAAATATGAATATGAATACAAACATGAAAAATATGAACAAATCATATTAGAATAATAGGATCTAAATTAATTTGTCTCTTTTTTGTATGGATTTAAAAAAAAATAAAAATTCTAAACAAAATAACAATTTCCTCATTAAACTAAATATGATATCAATAATAAGAATGTCTATATATTCCATCATACTAGAGCTAAAAGTGATTATAAACCATTAAAAGATATATCTACAAGAGATGGCAGTTTATTTGTATCCAATACACCTTCTTGTAGTAAAGATAAAATATAGAGATTTTTAAGTAATCCACAAAAACAGAAAAATAAACATAAAAGAAACAGAAATCAAGAAAATTAGAGCTATTTGAGCAAATTAATTTATCTTAGAAGTCTATCGGATTATAAATTAGATCAAAAGAATGTGGAGACTGATCTCTAAAAACATTTAAAAGATTTAGAAGTAACATTATAAAAGCTTGAACATCCTTAATAATTTAAATCAATAGATTAGGTATTTAATTAAAAAATAGAATCTATAACATTTGAAAAATGTTTAACATTAGAACAGGTTAAAGAAACAGCTAAAAAGATTATAGCTGCAGAATGGGAAGTTCATAAAGAAATGCCAGTAACTAAAAGTTTAATGAAATCTATCTCAGTGTCTGATATTCAATTAGAAAAACTATAAGAACAATATAGTAAGTTATAAGAATACATTAAACTTCAAAAAATAGATTATCATAATACTTAAAAGGATCAAGCATAAATGATTATGAAGGAGAATTAAGATTTGAAGAAGTTATAATTAAATCAACAAAAGTATTAGATGAAATTGAGACATTAGAAAGTCTAATAACAATTTTAAATACCTAATAAATTATTGAATTTATAGACTGATGAAGCAGGGTTGTCACCAAAGTTTATAAAGCGTAATACACAAATTTTGAATTCTTATAATACAACAATTTTTGAAAGAATGGATCCATAATTAAGATAAAATAAAGAATATAAAAACGCTTAAAAATAATTAATGGATTTGATGGTATCCAATCTCGAATAGAGAGACGAATTAAATTCAAAGAAAAACAACTCTTTTGTTAGTGTGTTACCTAAATCAGTAACAAGATTGTCATCACCAAAATATTTAGATTCTTATTCATAAAGATCAGATTAAAAAAAGTCATTTGCCTTTTCTAACAATTCTACGAGACTTGAAATTACAAAATTTTGATAAGAAAATTTGATGATTTTAATAAAGATATAAATTAGTTTAAATCTCCATCATATTGCTTTAAATTAAGGTTGACTTAATTTTTTTGCTTGATCTCTCATTTTCTGATCATAACCTTTTCCTCCCTCTGAAATCATAATTGATGCATTGGCTGGATCATGAAATGTTGGACTGTGAAATTATTATAAAATTAATACTGATGAATAACTTAATTAATGCCTGAAAATATTTCTAAGAGGGTTGTGCCTGAAGTAAAAGTTTCCTTATTTGAAAGATACATACACAATTTTCCCATTGGATATACATTGACATGTTAAAATCCATTTCTGAATGTAATATTTGGAGCTTCAGCTGGGAATCCTGGAGATCCATTAGAACCACATAAATCAACATCAACAACAATATAAGCACCTATTTATAATATTGAATATATTTTACCCTCATGAGGTGTTCCTTTCTCTCCAATATACTGAACTACGTATGCTTAATTGGAAACTTTTTTATAAGTGCAATTTGGAGGAAGTTAATCTAAATTCTCTTCTAAATTTTATTCTTCGAATTGTAATCTCTTCATCTAGAATGCTGTGCTCATTATATTTGAAATATATATTAATATTAATATTTTCATATAATAAATTTACAAAACACCAGAAATAATCAAATACCATCATAATCATCCTCTCTTAAATTCATACGTTCTACTCTATCAAAATTAGAATAATAATCTTTCTTTAGTTCTTCATTCTAATTTGCTTTGATTTTCTTCCAAGCTGCAAATACAAAAAGACAAATCAAAATAATCAATAACCATCCTATAGATAGATTGTTTTTTTTTTAACCAATTACATTCACACTGTTGTCTTTGATTTCTTCATTCAATTTTTTCTATTCTTCCTTGATTGATAATTATGGTAAAGACTAAGTCTAATTAGATAAGCTTTATTATAATCCCTCTTCACATGGTGTTTCAATTGGATCCAAATTAACACTAAATAAATTGACTCTAAACAATACCCTCCTGTGCAATAATCCCCAACAATTTTTCTATATCCTAAAGATTTCATATAGGTGCCTGTACAATTTTCAGGAGGTTTCAAAATATCAATATATTCATCTTCTTCAAATAAAGAGGCTATAGGTACACAAGGACCACCATCTACTTTACGATAAAATCCATAATCACATTCCCAATCTTCAATAGTACATTCACAGGAATCTATATAATGTATTTTATCATGCTCTTATTAATTAAAACATTAAGCATTTCTTTTCCTACGAGTATAACGATACTTTTATCCAAACAGACATTAATGATTAACATAATTTTTAGGTATCCAAAATTCGTAATCACTATCTGGATCTAAGGGATCCCAAATACCACTACAAGTACGTTAATGTAAAGTAGTAAAATCTACATTCAAAATGATTCCTTGTCTTTTTTCATCAATTCCCGTAATAATGAAGTTAATGTACAAACTTCTACTAGTTATAGAAGTGACAATCATTTTAGGAATAACAAGAGTTTCCCAATTTAAACCTTCATCCCACGAATACAATAATTCATTAGTTAAAGATTTAGCTTTTGCCATAACAATTATACCTCCTCTATCACCAAATGAATAGATATGATGTCCTTTTCTAATTTCATACCAAGTTAAACCTCCATCTCTTGAGAAATAAGTATTAATATTCTTTTCCTCCAAATATAATCCCACATTACCTGATGCCATTATCAATCCAACAGCTTTAGATTCTCTATAAATTTTACTTACACTTCTCCCTTGAAGATGAAGTGAACAATCCCCACTACAATGAATTTTCTATCCATTTGCATCTTTATCAGGAGCTCTAAGAGGATGCCAAATAGCACCTTTATCAAATGTAATTACAGTTTTTTTGTATTTCTCAAGATCGACTTCTTATTTTACTACATTAAGTTTTTCATGATCATAAATATTTGCTATGTAAACTCCTCTTAAACTTTCAATCCTTTCAAAATCACATTATCCTGTATTCAGAGATCTAACATTATTCAATAAAGAAATAGTGAACTTGAATCCCTAAAAATCGGAAGTATATATATTAGTTAATTTCTTATTGGTTTAATTATGAGAGACTGATAAAAAGATTTATTCAGATTCAGTATCTAATAAGGTGTAAGAGTATTATTCATCAAATGGAATAGAAATATTAATCATTTAAGCATAATCATAAAATGCTGGAGCAACATGTAATTTATAAGTAGATGACAATTTAGAAATGACAAACATATGAAATTGAGTTTAAAAGAAACCAGTTCCATTATTATGAATGATTTTATATGAATTGTAATAATCGTCTGAATATGTGACTCTGCTTTAATTATTTTCTAAATGACATGCCACAATACGTTCATCTGGAATTAATTCACTATCAATAAGTTTATCCCATGAAGCCATCATAGCAGAACTGAGAATCCATTTCCAAGTTTTACCACCATCATTAGATTTATGAATATCTTTATTAAATGGAGGATGACATCGTTCACAATTTGAATATGCCAACATCCATTCATCATCCATTGAATTCAATTTGAAATCAGTCAAATTTATTGGAAATGTAAACCACGTGTAATGTTATCCACAATCCTCGGACCTTATTCCAGTACCATTTTTACCAAATACATATATGACTTCCTTATTAGCTGGTGAGATTTACATCTCATAAAACCAATCATTTATTCCCATCTTTTCTAATATTGATGTTTCATCACTCCATTTATATCCATTATCTACACTCTTATATATTCGTCCTTTCTCAGACAATGTAAAGATTGTTTCTAACCACTCCTTCCCTTCTCTATTTGAATTACGTATCAAACAAAATTAAGGAGAATATACTGCAGAATCAGCCGAGAATTGTGTTATATTGACAGCGCTTACACCAATTATTAACAATAATAGCATTGTGTTTTATTTTATTTATGTGCTTAAATCAAATTGCAAAGAAGCTTCTTGCCACATACTCAACAGCATCATTGACAGTTCTAAAACATTCTACATCGGCATCTGGAAATTCTATTTCAAATTCTCTCTCTACTTCTACCATTACCTATCATATATGTATTATATCTCTAATTACTTCTACATATGCCATATCTGTTAAACCTATATCAGCCCATGTAGATTATAATGTTATTCCTGATGGATTCTTTACTTCATCATGTAAACTTATCACTTTTATCATTCGACGAGCAACAGCTTCTGGATTCACATAATACCCTGATTTCTCATTTCTCAATAATATTGGTTATTCATTTGATCCAAAGTATTTTGGCACTTAGCTCAATTATTTGCTAAACATTTGCACAAGTCTTCTGTTCATATCTTAAATAATTAAAATGTCTTAAAATATATTAAAAGACATACTACATCTGGTATGAGTAAAACACTATTTTTATAAGTTAGAAGGACCCTCTTCAGACTCATTCAAAGACCTAGACTCCTAACTAATGTTTATCAAAGATGCCATTCTCCGTAATTAACTTAATCAAGATTATTAAGAACTTGAAAAACAAGTTTAAAAATATGAAGGTGAAATCAGAAAACATATTAGAGTAAAACTCATTATTCTTATCATTAGACTGAATAATAAATCAAACTCTATTGTGAATAACTCTAATAACAATTAGAACAATTGCAATAAAATAATAATAACAAGAACTTTATTCATGTATGAGTTCTATTCATTTCTTAGTAACTGAAGAAAGAAATTCTATTATTGCATGAATAAAATAAGCAACTTATTGAAGAAAATACGCTTCTCAAAAAGAAGATACAAGAAACTAATGAAATTTAACATTCTACCATTTCAAGCAAACAACCTTCTAAATTAGCCGATTTTATTCGTAAACAAAAACTTCCCAATGACAGGGACACATATCTTAGTAATACTATTGATGTTTCTTCTATATATAAAAAAGATTAAAATAGATTGAACTCGAAAACCATCTCACAATAAACTACTGAATAGAATTATGATCATAATAAGTAATTTATTAATAATTTTAACATTATTTGTAATAAATAAAAAATTACATGCAATATTTATAGATAGAAAAAGAGTTTTAGTGAACATAAGCAAATCAAAAATAAGTTAGATATATCCTCTATTAATTGAATTTAATTTTTATTTGTATCTAATAATTATTTTTCTTTATATTAGTTAATTTTATTATTTAAAACAAAAAAAAGAAGAATTTTTTTTTTGTTATAATTTGTAAAAAATGAGACGTTGAATCACCATAATTTTTAATAAATTATGCATAAGACTGTTTTATAATAAAAATCTTTAATATATTATAATCATTTAGATTATAACCATTGATGAATCATATTTTAAATTAAAAGCAGATTTGATTTTAAAATATTTTTATAAATATAAATAAAAGCAAAAGATTCTTTTAAAATATGGTTAAATCACAAGAATGTTCATTCTAGCTTAAGCAAACTAAGAAATATCAAAAAATTGATAGAGAATAGCGTAAAATTGTCTTAGAAATGCTTTTCAAAGAAAAATTATCACTTTAAGAGGTATTCACCATATTGTTAAATTACCTTACTATATACAACTATATATTGTTTATATGACAAATCCTTTCTAGGTAGCCAACAGACTTCAGTTAAAGTATTGTACAGTCAGAACGATTCAAAAAGCATTTGAATAGGATGGTCGTATAGGAAAAAAGGAAACCAGAAAAAAGAAGCTTAAAGTGTAGAGCATATTAAAAGTATCAGTCTTGAATCCTTTGACTTTATAAATTTAACCTTTGTGTGTTCAGACTGATACAACTTAAGTAAATATTTATATGAAAAGCTTAGATCTATATTGATAAACAGCCATCCATTGTGGATCAATTAAATTTAGCCAACGAACAGAAATAACTCATATCATCCCAATATCAGAAGTTGACTTAGACTTTAACTTCTGAAATTAAAAAAGCCAATTTAGTCTAACAACCGATACTCCAAAACTTATTTTTAGCATCCTAGATGGTACTCAAATAGATTCTAGACCCAAAACCTTAAATTTAAGTTAAACAAGAATTCGATTCAGTATCCACCAGTCCCTACTCTTTTTAACCAATCTAATAATACCCTTAATTTTATCCTTTCCCTCACTCTTTTCTCCGAACATGATGATATACATATATATATGTATGCATTTTTAATCTCAATCTCCAATTAGAATATAATGAATTTTCTAAATTTTCTTAGAATTCTAGATTTATCCATTGACATAGCAAATAGATAATATATACTATATACATTATATTTATAATTTGTAAATACTTTATATTCACAAAGGTTTAAGAGTTTAATAAAAAATGAATATTATAATCACAAAATAATACTTTGAATTATTCTAAAAATATTATCTTAAATATATTTATATATATATATATTAGCATTATATAAAACAAAGGCTTTTATTGTTCAGATTTCTTAATTCCAATCATTCTGGACTTCTTAAGACAATCGTCATTCACGTAGCAAATGAATGCTACTATAAAATCCTTTGTTATTTATAAAGTGCAGCTCAACCTCAACTTTTACATTCAGCTCCTCCTCCTAACCCTCTTACAATCTTAGGCTTAGTTCCTTATTTTCCATTATTATCATCATCATCATCATCTTTTGGTTTTCTCTTAAAAGGCATCTCTAAAATTAATAAATTTCAATAGCTACTTTCATCTACAATGTATTTTAATTCATCTTTAGTATATTTATTGGATTCCTTCTTCATACCTATGAGAGTACATAAAAAGAGAATCATAGCAAAAAATAGAGTTCGAATGATGCTCCAGGTAGAATCGATAGCTTTCACCACCGTACTTCTATTTGAAGCTAATTAAACCATTGAAATTAATATAAAAGTAATATTTATTTATATATTAGTCAAGGTTAGGTTTTTAAAATATCTGACAATTAAAATTTACTAAATTTCTTTAAATTTTCTAAATTTGGATATTATTTATCAAATCCTTTAGCAAAATTCAATAATTAATTGGCTGATTCCATAGCATCTGAATTTTCAATTTTCAATGTTGAAACTATTAATGGTATTATTACTTCTGATGAAAGTGATTAATCAATTTACTCAACTATTTTTGTGCTTACAATTAAAGCAGCACATGCAATTTATACATATGTATGTTTATTAACAAATTCATAATCATAAAGAGCCTATAAATAATATAATAATTTACTTACCAATTTTGATAAATATAGTGTTATTTAATATAACTATTAATTCATATTTAAAATGGAGAGTACAATTGTAATAATATCTAAAATTGTGATACCAACTAAACTAAAATCTAAAGTCGTTAAAATATTTGTTTCTTTTTCTTTTATTTCATCCTTCGTTAATTTCTTATGAGCAATCTTTTCATGCACAACTTATAATTTAACAGGATAAATTTCTTCGAATTTACATGCCATAAACATTGTAGTTACACCAACTAAATGTAAATCTTGAGGAATATGCTTTTATGATGTTTTAGATAGATAGGAATCCATTAATTTAACGGCTAAAAAGAATGTTTAATCTTTGCATTTATAAGATGTAAGCACTTCAACCATCCAATCAACCATTTTTGCTCTTAGATTTGCACTTACTGTATGATTGGATAAACAATTTTTTGGTGTTTAATTCTATATTTGTTGATTTTATGTATTGTTACATTTAAATCTAAATAATATTCTAAAATAGGTTCAGAATAATTGTTGATTAATTTACACAATTCATTAGATTATGTTTCTACTTGTTTTGGTTTCATAGGAGATAATTTTTATGGAGAAGGAACTGTTTATGTTTTTAGTTTAGATTCTGGTTTACAGAATACTAATGGACGTGATGAAATTGATGTATAATTATTTTTAAGCTCTATACTCTTATATTCATTTTCTTATTTATATTTATTAATCCATTACTTCTATTTCCACCTATTAATGTTAATGAGACCAATTAAGTTAAGGATTTATTTTAATTTCTAGGATTATTTGACACTTCTGCTTAATTTTCTTTTTCAAAAATCTTTTTGGACATGTCTTTCATTATCTTAACAGTTAAATTTTATTAATAAAGTAAATAATTATTTATTTATTATTTTGTTTATCTTTACACAACCCCCTTCTAAAATACAGAATAAAAAGAAAGAGAATTTAAAGCATTTATATCAAAAAACCCCCATTTAGGTTATAAAAATCATACTGTAAATTTTCTGTACCTTTGAGCTCCGCACTCAGCACAATGAATTTTATAGTATTAATTAATCTTTTCACATTATTAGCACTACCATTCAAACTCAAATAAATCATATTTTTGTTCTTCTAATTTAATTGTTTTTTACATGTTTCTTTTGTAATCTATTTCAAGATTGGTTCCATCGAAGGTAATTTATCAAATGAGAACTTATTATTACTATTATCTTTTTTCTCTCCAGAAGATTTATTAGATCTATCAGATATTGGTGGAATATCACCATTACTCTCTGTTAGAAATAAAGCAGATTTGAATCCTTTATTCTCATTTTCTTTATAATTCTTTTATGTATGACATCTATTGCAAGTATCTCTAAATGCAAAATTCATATTATTGCAGCTATTACATATCCAATCTCCCTACCGTTGTCTATGATTTATTTTATTTTTTCCTTTCTACTAAGCCATTTTATTTATTATAATTATTAATAACAAAATCAATCTTCTTCAGAAAATTTAACTACAACATATGATGAGGAACTCGAAGCATTCAAATGTAAATATTTGAAAACATATAGTGGCATTAATCCAAATATAAAGAAATAAAATAACAAAAATCCAATGCTTTCCATCTAATATTAATTAATTTTCTAATTTTACCAAAAAAAATGAAGCTCCCCATTCATACATTCTTCTATTTAATGCAATTCCTTCAACATTCAAAGCAAAAACCCATCCTGGAATTGTAAAAAAATTAGCTACTAATATTCTTAATACTCTCTTTCTTTTATCTCCTTTATACCATTCAAGTGTATTTATATGTCTAAAACAATATGAAACTCCAAATAATGCACCAATTAAAGCAAATATTACACTTGTCTTTTAAAATGTAAAATGTGGTCCCATTAATAATTATGCTGGAATTCTCATAGCATTAATATCTGTCATATAAAAACAATTCATAAAATTATCTGCCCATTTTATATTTACAAAATCATTTTCATTTGATATTAATATTGCTGCAATAGTCTCTGTAATCAACAAGAAAAAAGATATGTAAAAAACATATCGTTTAGAATCCTAAATTTATTTATTTTACTATTTACTATATTCATTATTGTAGAATGCTTTATTATATTGTTAATCTAATTCTCAAAAGTTACATAGAATGCATAAAATACAAAGCAATAAATCAAACCCAATATCATATTGATCAAATATTATAAAGCCATTAAAAATAACAATATAGAATACAGAATTACAAATAATGATATGGCTATTTGAACAACTTTTACTTTTCTATCAATCTTCTCATCATATGTCTTAAAAGACCTAGTATGATTCTTTGTCTTATAACAGTAAACAGTATAAAATAATGTAAATGCCAACTAACAAACAAAAGAAGATGGATTTCCATAACTTGGTATGCAAAGTGAAGTCACTAACTTATTATTATAAATTATTATACTTTCTCATATACCCAAAATGGTCTAGGATCTGAATATATCAATTGCAAAAATGCTACAATGAAAACACTAAAATAAGATGTATATAGTATTTTTACAGCAATTAATGCATCAAATCCAACATATAATGTTATAAAGTAATTTGTAAATATCATTATTGATATTCCATTTCTATGAACACTTCCTGCTATATCAAATAAAAAGTTATCATTAAAATAATCCATTTCATCAAACTCAGTCAATTTTGTTTTTCTTAAGTTTAATATACTTTGAAAATAACTTAATAGTTCATTCTCAACACCAATTATAATTGAATATAATATTCTTTCTAAAATTATGAATAGCGTGATAATAAATAGAACAGTAAATTATCTAATTAATCTCTTTTTATTTCTCTCTAGATGATCATCATTCATTTTTTTTTATTTGATTTTATCTTCAATACTTAAATTAGTCAACGTTCTGACTTCTTCTTGTTCATTTTAAACTACCTAATCTTCTTTTAATTCTGATTCCTTATTTTCACTTTATATATTGAGTGGGTTCATATTTATAAATTATTTATTAATTTTAATAATTTTGAACAAAATTAAAATAATGTATACTAAATACTAAATGAACGAATTAATTTATTTAAATTTGATACAATTATTATAAATAATGATAATTTTTATTTAATCTTGGAATTATTTTTTCAAGATATAAATATGAAGAATCGTGAAATTAACTTAATTGATTTTTCTTAATTAATTTTCATAGATTTTATCAAAATTTCTTCAATCTTAAATATAATTTTTTTTGGGATATTTTTTTCAAAGGAAAGTAGATAGTTATTGTAAAATCCAAAAAAATCTTATTTGAGATTCAAAAATTTTCACTTAATTCAAAGCTCTTAGAAAATTAAAGGTTTTTTAATAAGAATTCATTATTAAAAATATTGTAATCATTTTATTCTTCTTCAATATAGAGTTTATTAAATTTTCTTCACAAAATAAAGAATTAGAAAATTTGAGTTTATTACTCTCATTTAATTGCTTAAAAATATAACTCATGTTTGAAAACAATCTTGATTAAATGAGAAACAATCTTATTAGACAATGTTAGATTAAAATTTGAGAAAGAACTATTATACTTCTTATACTGCTTAAACCTGATTTTAGTTTAGAGATAAAAATAGAATATTTTATCTCTAAAAAAGAATTAAAGGCATTAATTTTAGCAGGCAAAATCATGCTTGGATCCATTTATTAAGTTTTTTTTTGAATATTTTTTCAATTAATAAATAAATATAGAATTCTTAGTTAACAGGAATGGTTTTTTAAAATGTTAATTGGGTTAGACTTCTGAAAAATTTTCATTTTAACTTACATGATTAGATTATTTTTGACTTTGCGGATTAAAACAATTAAATTTAAAAAATAAGATTGAAATGAAATTTTTAATTTTTTAATTCTCAAGTTCTATTTATTGATTTAAAGTTAANTCAATTTTGTTTTTCTTAAGTTTAATATACTTTGAAAATAACTTAATAGTTCATTCTCAACACCAATTATAATTGAATATAATATTCTTTCTAAAATTATGAATAGCGTGATAATAAATAGAACAGTAAATTATCTAATTAATCTCTTTTTATTTCTCTCTAGATGATCATCATTCATTTTTTTTTATTTGATTTTATCTTCAATACTTAAATTAGTCAACGTTCTGACTTCTTCTTGTTCATTTTAAACTACCTAATCTTCTTTTAATTCTGATTCCTTATTTTCACTTTATATATTGAGTGGGTTCATATTTATAAATTATTTATTAATTTTAATAATTTTGAACAAAATTAAAATAATGTATACTAAATACTAAATGAACGAATTAATTTATTTAAATTTGATACAATTATTATAAATAATGATAATTTTTATTTAATCTTGGAATTATTTTTTCAAGATATAAATATGAAGAATCGTGAAATTAACTTAATTGATTTTTCTTAATTAATTTTCATAGATTTTATCAAAATTTCTTCAATCTTAAATATAATTTTTTTTGGGATATTTTTTTCAAAGGAAAGTAGATAGTTATTGTAAAATCCAAAAAAATCTTATTTGAGATTCAAAAATTTTCACTTAATTCAAAGCTCTTAGAAAATTAAAGGTTTTTTAATAAGAATTCATTATTAAAAATATTGTAATCATTTTATTCTTCTTCAATATAGAGTTTATTAAATTTTCTTCACAAAATAAAGAATTAGAAAATTTGAGTTTATTACTCTCATTTAATTGCTTAAAAATATAACTCATGTTTGAAAACAATCTTGATTAAATGAGAAACAATCTTATTAGACAATGTTAGATTAAAATTTGAGAAAGAACTATTATACTTCTTATACTGCTTAAACCTGATTTTAGTTTAGAGATAAAAATAGAATATTTTATCTCTAAAAAAGAATTAAAGGCATTAATTTTAGCAGGCAAAATCATGCTTGGATCCATTTATTAAGTTTTTTTTTGAATATTTTTTCAATTAATAAATAAATATAGAATTCTTAGTTAACAGGAATGGTTTTTTAAAATGTTAATTGGGTTAGACTTCTGAAAAATTTTCATTTTAACTTACATGATTAGATTATTTTTGACTTTGCGGATTAAAACAATTAAATTTAAAAAATAAGATTGAAATGAAATTTTTAATTTTTTAATTCTCAAGTTCTATTTATTGATTTAAAGTTAATAGATAAAATTATTAAATAAGTTTAGCATTATTAATTATTTTGATAAAAGAAAGTTGTCAAATATTTAAAAATTATTGTAGACTAAATTTATTCTATATAAAAGCATAAATATAACTTTAATTGAGTCATATTTTGAAATAATTACTGAGAAGGAATAATGTATTAAATAAATCGTACTTTATTTTATATATAAAATCTCGTTTATATTTATCATTCTACCGCATTCATGATTTTTTTAATTTCTTCGTCATAAAAAATGCTATTTTAGCATTTAATTTGTCTAATTTGTTTGGCTTTTATGAACAAATATTTTTTTAAAACTTTGAATTTCTTGAGAACTCTAGTCTTTTACTGTTATCTATTTGTAAGCCATTTCATCAAAAAACTATATTTTAATGTCCAAGGAGCTTTTTTCCTGATCATGTCTCTTATAGAATCAAGTTACACTTCAAAGGTTCTTAAGTATTGGTTTATTATTTCAAATAATAATTTTAATAAAAAGTGGATATTAAGATAAGCGAGCATAATCAAAAAAGGAATTTGTAACTCAAATATATCACTTATTTATTCTATATATACTCCAAGTCCTAAAATTATTGATACTTAACAAACTTATGCTGAAAAAGCATCCAATTTATTTAATGTTATTGAACTATATGGTTAATATTTAATATTAAGTTTCTCGTATATAACAACTGTTAGGAATACTAGAATACCTTTTTTAATGATAAATTCATCATAATAAGTTAGGAAGATTATGATTAATTCTTTTTGAAAAATTTTAACAATTTCCCAAAAAAAAGCTGTAATTTTGTACTCGTTGTACAAATATCCAAGACGCTATCTCATAACTTTTGTGTTCAATTTAGCTTTGTTGAAGTACATTCCTAAATATAAAATTATTGGAATCAAAATAGCAATTATCAACATCAAAGGAAGACAAAAGGTTGTCAACCAAAAGTAATGTGAGCTAGTATCATATCGATATGCAACACTAGCTTAAATCCATTTGAAACCAGAAATCGAACGAAAAGAAATTAACTATAAAAATCCTCCAATCAAAGAAGGTTAAGCATAAATGTACAAATATATAAAAGTTGTAGTGATAACACTTACTTTATAACTTAAGACATTGAATAAAACTCCTATAAAAAAGAATCCTAAAAATAAAGTGATATAAATTAAAGGTAAAATTAATTACCATATCATTCTTGAATAATGAATATCAAAAGAAAACATGACAATTAAAAAGCAATCAAGAGAATATGCCATTTTTTGTATAGGATTTGCTGAAGAGTTTACTGCATTATTTAATTATTCAGGTAATTAAAATTTAAAAGTGGTAATTGTGGAAACTACTTGTAGATGATTAGTTAACATCTTAATTAAAATTCCTGCTTGAGAATCTTATACTTCTAACTGATATTAATACAGAAATTATTGTCCTAAAAAAATACTTAAAATTTTTACCAAATGCTAATAAGAATAATTACAATAGCATTAAATTCTTAATCAGTACAAGGTCCGCATTAATATTTATTACTGATTGAGTAATGTCCTTCTCCTCGTAAATTATAGAGATCACATTCTTCACACAAAGCTCCTACATGCCCTAAAAAACATGATGTATCACCCACTTCCCATCCTCCATTACAATTTTCAACTAAGTTAATACACTCATCAATTTTATCAGTATTAAAATAAGGTCTCCAAAATCCTTATTTTATTTTCAACTTTGCAGAAGTAACTTCGTTAACTTTTTATTCATCCATAGCAGAGCATTTATTAGAATTAATTAAAAGAGAATATTATCCCTGAGTAGCATTACAAATCATACAAATACCTGTTGTTTAATTCTTTATTTCTCCAAACTGACAAGGCAAAGTCTTCAAATTTATTCGAAGAAAATAGTTATTGTGATATTCACTTATTTCTAAATTATCATTATAAATTGGAATATAAACAGAAGTGCAATTAAATTGGAGTTATAATGTCAAGTTCAATTAGTCATCTAAAAAGACAGCTAAATCATCTAAATTGTAGTCAGAACTATTAAAAACAACTCTCGGAATATTCGTGAAATTAGATGTAAATTTATTTTCATTATTAGAATCAAATATCCTTCCAGTTATATCGCAAGTTGAATTGTCTAAATTATACTATTAGACATAATATTTATCTAAAGCTTTTATTCTAAAATGCATATTATATTTAAAATATTTCAGTTAAGCCCAATCAAAATACTCATATTTAGATAATGGCGATCCATTTGGAACGTAAAGAGTATCAGTATCTGTATCTTTGAAAAGTTTATATGGTTTTATTACAATCTATTCAATAAGCAAATTTTCTGTTTTAATAATTTAAACTTTTTCTAATCCTGTGATTGTGTCTAAGGAGATTGTTAATTAGGATGGAATCTAAGCATAATTATTTCCAAATAGTTTAGCAGTGTTTAAATCTATAAAATTCTTTGACGAATAAAATTGATTGGTTTTTTAAAGATTAATAGACAATCCTCCTCCAAAATTTGCAGTGTTATTTGTAATAATTGATTCAANAAATAAAGTGATATAAATTAAAGGTAAAATTAATTACCATATCATTCTTGAATAATGAATATCAAAAGAAAACATGACAATTAAAAAGCAATCAAGAGAATATGCCATTTTTTGTATAGGATTTGCTGAAGAGTTTACTGCATTATTTAATTATTCAGGTAATTAAAATTTAAAAGTGGTAATTGTGGAAACTACTTGTAGATGATTAGTTAACATCTTAATTAAAATTCCTGCTTGAGAATCTTATACTTCTAACTGATATTAATACAGAAATTATTGTCCTAAAAAAATACTTAAAATTTTTACCAAATGCTAATAAGAATAATTACAATAGCATTAAATTCTTAATCAGTACAAGGTCCGCATTAATATTTATTACTGATTGAGTAATGTCCTTCTCCTCGTAAATTATAGAGATCACATTCTTCACACAAAGCTCCTACATGCCCTAAAAAACATGATGTATCACCCACTTCCCATCCTCCATTACAATTTTCAACTAAGTTAATACACTCATCAATTTTATCAGTATTAAAATAAGGTCTCCAAAATCCTTATTTTATTTTCAACTTTGCAGAAGTAACTTCGTTAACTTTTTATTCATCCATAGCAGAGCATTTATTAGAATTAATTAAAAGAGAATATTATCCCTGAGTAGCATTACAAATCATACAAATACCTGTTGTTTAATTCTTTATTTCTCCAAACTGACAAGGCAAAGTCTTCAAATTTATTCGAAGAAAATAGTTATTGTGATATTCACTTATTTCTAAATTATCATTATAAATTGGAATATAAACAGAAGTGCAATTAAATTGGAGTTATAATGTCAAGTTCAATTAGTCATCTAAAAAGACAGCTAAATCATCTAAATTGTAGTCAGAACTATTAAAAACAACTCTCGGAATATTCGTGAAATTAGATGTAAATTTATTTTCATTATTAGAATCAAATATCCTTCCAGTTATATCGCAAGTTGAATTGTCTAAATTATACTATTAGACATAATATTTATCTAAAGCTTTTATTCTAAAATGCATATTATATTTAAAATATTTCAGTTAAGCCCAATCAAAATACTCATATTTAGATAATGGCGATCCATTTGGAACGTAAAGAGTATCAGTATCTGTATCTTTGAAAAGTTTATATGGTTTTATTACAATCTATTCAATAAGCAAATTTTCTGTTTTAATAATTTAAACTTTTTCTAATCCTGTGATTGTGTCTAAGGAGATTGTTAATTAGGATGGAATCTAAGCATAATTATTTCCAAATAGTTTAGCAGTGTTTAAATCTATAAAATTCTTTGACGAATAAAATTGATTGGTTTTTTAAAGATTAATAGACAATCCTCCTCCAAAATTTGCAGTGTTATTTGTAATAATTGATTCAACTAAAACGAATTTTTAATTCCCTATAATTGTAATTGAGCCACCTTAAATTTTAGCTTCATTGTGTTTAAATACTGATGATTTTATAATAGTGTTCAAATTTGAAATAAATAAACAAGTACCTTCATTTCCAAAATTATAAATACACACATAATCTACTATCTTCAGATCATAAACTTATTTTACAAGAAAATCTTCTTTACTTTAAAGTATTCGATAATTATTAGATTTTTCAAAAATTAAACAACCTAAAATTCCACAAAAGTTTTAATAAATCAATAAAGAATCTATAGAGGTATCGACGAAAGAATTCATATAATAAAAAGCTAGTAATCCTCCTAATTTAGAATCAGTATTTTTAATTCTTATTTAAGATAATCTAATAACTGTTTATTAAGGGTATATCAGAAAAAGATGAATTGGTGAAGTCTTTAAATTATTTATTGCTTTTAAAACACAATATGCCTGCTCTATACTATCGTTTTTGAGAGAAACTAAAGGATTTAGAGCTAAAGGTTATTGACCACATTTATATTTGATCTGATTTTCAATAATAGATTGATTTATTTAGCATTTAATTGATTAATTAATATCATTATTAACAGTTATATTTAATACTGAAATATTTGAAAATTACAATTTAGAACCACTATCCATTTCATCTATGTAGACAGCGTGATTCAAAAAGTAGGATTGAATTATCTTCATGTTTTGTATTGTAATACTTTTTGTTGCTTTTAGTCTGAATACAGATTCATAAAACAATTAAGATATTTCTATATTTTCTAAAATAATGATTTTAAAATTTGATATCAAAAACAGTGATCTTGATCCTAACTAAACAACTACTGATTAGTACTTTTCGTTAAGGTTCTTAAAAGTGTTTAGAAACTCTAATTATTCTGGCATAGTATTCATTATTTTTAGATTATTAAGCGAGAAAGTAGTTTAATCATTTTAACTTTCAAATTCTCCATAAAATAGTGAACCGATCAACGAATATACATTTTCAATAAATAGATTTTCTAGATGAATTTTTGTTACTCCTATGCCAGGTAATATATACATAAATCCCCCTTTGTTTTTATTTTTTATATTTAACATATACATATAATTTGCAGTGATATCAGCAGACGTCGACTGAGACGAGTCAATAAATAAGATTCCTCCATTTTATATTTCAGATATTAAATTACTGAAATTTGCATACTCAATTGAGAATATGGCTTCGTTTTCCATTTTTATATAAAATCCTGACCCAGAAGAATTGTTTATTGAGATATTTTTAATAATAATTTGTTCACCAATTATCTTCGCATTACCTGAAGAAACCTTAATTTAAAGCAGTTGGGTAATTATATCATATGTCAAACCATGATCCAAAAAAGGTTGTAAAATTTAATAATCAAATATGCAATTCTTTTTGAAAACCAAATTTTCAAATTTAATAGTCTTTGCTTTGATAACAATAATACTACTTGAAGAATTTGTAACTAGATTAGATGCCAGAATTAAGTCTCTTAAATGAATTGTACATAAAGAGCAATCTAGATTAAAAAGTAAACTTGAAATAAACAAATAATTTTCTTAGTATTAATGTAACAAATTCTTTTCAAATATGGAATCAGATATTTATATGTACAAATTATTTTATGACATTAGGTATATTAACCCTGTTGTTGTCTACTTACCTTGTGTAAGCAAGAAATTGTTATAAAAATTAAGCTAAGATAATTTCAACTGTTATATGGATGTTGATTTTGACTTTTTTTAATAGATATCAATGATAGGATAGTCTAATAGCTTATTGTCAAAAATTTTTAGATTTATGAACTCAATATTAAAGGCATTTTCTATTAAGATGGAGGTTTGAAGACGACCCTAGATTGAGTCACACTCAAAAAAAATAAATAATTTCTATTCCTAATAATCAGAATAGGGCTAGATTGTTGTTTTATTGACAATTAGGTTTTGGACTTCTAAAAACTTAAATTCACTATTTCCGTCAGAACGTTAAATATCTAATTCAAATATTGATACATTAATAAATTCCAAAATAATTAATGTCGAATCAAATTTCAATTTTTCAATATCATCAATTTGGTTACCAATTAAACTGAAATTGTTTATTATTAAATCTTAATTTTATTCTAACTTATTGTTGTTAAATAAGATTAATATTGAGCCATATTCATATTTATTTAATGTAAAATTAATGTATTAAGTTTGACAGAATTTGATATTGTTATTTTTATTACTAATTAAGACTGAATAATTTGATATCAAATTAATTGTGAATTCTATTTAAAACATATTTATGTTATTTGTAAGAGTCAGGAAAGTAGTATTATCAATGTAATTTTCCTTAACTAAAATGAATTTTGCTTGAAATTTGCATAGTCCCTCCATTTATATAAAATTAGTATTTTCTAGTTTGCAATTCATCATTACTAGTTTATTGATTATTAATTTTCCTTTTTTTAAATTTAATAATTATGCTTCTTAGAATAAAGACTCTTTTATGATTATATTAGATAATTCTACCTAATCATTTTCTTTCAAATTAAATTGAAAGAAATCATTCCTCATAAGAATGTTAATTGTGCAATTAGAAATTTATATACTTTAGGGAAAATTAGTGTAACCAAAATCCATAAAAGCTAGTCCATATGGAATTTGAAAATCTCCATCAGATGAAACAATTAAATTTTCTATTTATATATTCGTAGAATTGTTTATCTAAATAAAAGCACTCTTTTGAGAAGATGATACTTCAATGTTAATGAATTCTATTGTTTACTCAAAACTTGAATGAATTTAAAGTTATGTGTTTTTCAATTTTAATCCTTCCAAACGAATTTTTTTAAAGTTGATTAATTGAAACGGACCATCAGAACTAAAAGTAGTAAACCCATTTCCCTAAATTTCTAATTAAACATCACTTAAAGAAAATAATGAATAAGTACATAATTGAAAATACATGTAAACTGTAATTTTATGAAAAAATTTAGTTTTAATCAAAATAGCATTATTATTCCTTTTTACTTATAATTTTAATTAAAATAGTTTGAATTTCAAGTTAGTTTAAGAGTAAATAGAAATCTTAGGTTTGAAACTAAAATATAAATTAAATTAAATAGATACCTAATTAATTTATTCAGGATCAACGAAGGAACTACAAATTAAATCTAAGTTGATCTAAATTTCCTTTCTTTAATACATTTATTGACAATCATTATACTTGAAACCAAAATGATCATAACATTGATAAAACCCTAAACATTAGTTTGAAAAATAAGATAAATATTGATTAAAATTAAAAAGAGGATTAATTTCTTTAATTTCCCACAAATCTCTTTTACGACATAATTCACAATTAGAAGGGCAAAGAATGCATTCATTCTATTATAAACTTAAGCTTTTTCCAAATAAAGTTTAAGGACAATCGATACAAACATTTTCGTTATTTACAATAATACATTCTACACAACCAGATGGGCAAGGTTTTATGCACAAACCATTATTCAATGAATATCCTTCTAAACAACTTGAACAAATTATTTCATAATCTTCTGAATTTTACTTATATCCAAATTAGGAATAGATAAGACCTTGTTTAGTACCATCAACAATTAATCTATAGAAAGCTAAAATTTCAGTTTTCCAATTATCCTTTGCTATTTTATGTTGTTATTCGCAAACTTTGCATTAATATTCTGAGGGACAAGGTACACATTAACCAGTCTTTTTTTCAGAATAATATCCTACTTAACAAATAATACAAAAAAAAGTGTTAAATTCTTCAATCATAGAACCAATCAAACATATTTAACACTTCACCTTAATATCCTCGCATCCTTATTTGAATGAATAAGGATTGGCCTCATTTTTAATTCCATAGAGACAAAATATTTCATTATCTTATGAATAGCCATAAAAACATTCTTTGTCTGTAAGTTCTTCACATATTTGAGTCCATTCATCAAAGTAGAATCCATCTTTACATCTAGCACATCCTGTTATGGTTGCAGTTTTATCGTTGATATTAGTATGAAATTCAAAAGAATTTATTTGATAATCTTCCGTAGCTTCAAATGCATAAAGACAATTCGCAATAAGATTTTCTAAACAATCTGTAAAATTTATAGAAATATAATATTTTTAATGATGTACACATCTTAAGCATCTAGGAAATCCTACACCAAACAAATTGTATTAATATTAACAGATTTCACAATTTTTTCCACATTTAATACATTTGTTTAAATCACTAGAAAAAGTATACCCCCAGTCACAATTATTGCTGATAATCTCTTCACAATAACTATCACCATTTTCTACCTTAATCTAATTATATCCATCCTTGCATTAATAACAACCAACTAAACTACCTTACAAACATCCTTTTTGGAGAGGTAAACACTAATTATATTCAATGAAATAATTTGAATTACACTTCACGTAAATCTATTTAGTTACAAGAGAATTATTATTAAACTCAAAACAGTTTAATTCATCAAGAGAGCAATATTTGTATGCTCCTTCAATATATTATAATTCAAGGTTATTGTCAATAAAAAATAACTCATAATTATCAGGGATTCTTTCTTTTTTTATATAAGTGAATTAATTTTCTGATTTCATTAGAATATAATAGTCAGATTAACAAATTAACTTTTTATACCATTTAGTAGGATATAATAAACATTCTGCACAAAGAAGATCAAAACCTCTTTTATAATTTTATGGGCTAATATATTTCAAAGATATAATACCATTTAATGCATCTTTTGTATTCAGGTAACATAAAATATCCAAATGAACATATTAATTCATTTGAGTTGAATCCAATATTATTAAGAATCATGGTAGGACTAAAATCTGTTAATGGTTTACATATTTAATTTTTCTCAAAATAACCAATTTAACAGGGACATTAATTTAAATCTTTTTGGAATATTCTATTTTGATTCTCAGGACAAGATCTGCAATCATAAGAGGAGGGACCACTACATAATAAGCAACTGTAATGACATATTTAAATATATTTTTTTGGAATTTCATAATTGTACTGTATATTAAAATTAGAGATTTAACCCTTTAATTTTTAGAAATATTCTACATTATCACTCCCTATGATTACATAAAATTTTGTATTGACAAAAACATTGTTATACCATTCATCTCCCAAATATAATTCCTTTCTTATTATCTCTGAACCTTCAAGGTATGATATTTGACATCTTGATTTAATACTCCAACTATTTGAGTATTCAAAAGTGACAAAATGCCAATTAGTTAAAACTGTAAAATCTAAAAAAATATGATCCCATCCATTACTACCATATAAACTCTAAATGTATTAGAGTAAAGGAGTAGCATAGTGATGAGAAATATATGTATAATAGTGCCGTTCCTCAAAATCAAAGATTACCTTTATCAAAACTATCTCATCGCCAACTCTATTTTCAATAGAATAACTTTTAAAAATAGTCAATCTAAGTAATAAATATGTAAACCAAGAATCTGGCTCCTTTGGGTTATATTTTACCCATCCAAATATACAAAAATTCTTACCTACTTAATCAAATTCCTGTATAAGTTAGGTAAAACCATTAAATATTTAAATACCTGGAACAACTTCAAATATTTATTCTCCTTCTATTAATGGAGCAATTTTGTTGTTATTAAAAAAGTTATCATAAGTTTAGTCTTTTCTAATGAAGATTAGTTTAGAGATTCTCCCTAAAAACAGTTTTAAATAATCATCATAATCATAACAAATGTCTGTAATTATTTTAAGTCCAGAATCACCAAGCACAAATAATATATTGGACAATTCACTGTCGGTTTAGAAAGAATGAATTACATTACTATTCAAAGTTTAGATTTAAATTTCATTCTTTGTAATTGTTATCATTGTCAGTATCCATGTTCCTTCATACGATAAAGGATCATATAGTTAATATTCTTGGCATTTTCGACAATCTTATAACTCTTCTTCTTCTTCTTCTTCTTATTCTTCTTAACATTCTTAAAATCTTTCTTTAAAATGAAAATTATGACTGACTTCATCATTAAAAAAGTCTATGTATAAAAACATCGCAATAATCAGCTCTTAATTGTCGAGATTTTAAATTTGAAACAGTTGCTATTTTACATAATCTGGAGCTAAATAAGTTGATTAAGCTGGGATATAGTAGCTCCAAAATGCAAATGTATGTTAAGTGTCAATTTGAAAACTATATTCTTATTTTTGAGTCGTTTAATCTAGAAATTAATCTTCATAACTATTTGATGCTGCTATCAGAATTACATGAAAGATAAAAATGACCATGCTTTTTATCAAATCCATTAATAATAATATTGGTATTAGAGTGAGATATATGTAGAATACAACACATATATCTTTTTTTCATCGAATAAAAATATTTATTACCCCTCTTCAGTCTCTGATGAATTCTGGGGGGCCACTAGTATGTTGGTTGAGATTACTCTCTTACCTCCCCTTAATATAAATACTATGGTCGAGTGAGGCAGAGGCAGAGGCAGATTTAGCCAATTTGAAGACAGGTGTTGGGGATTATAATCGTTGTCTGTAAAAAAATAAAAGTTAATAAGGCAAAATAAAAACCTGTTATATTATAATTAATCTTTATTTATATATTATTTTCTCGAACTCTTTATAAAATAATAGCGTTAAAAAATGTGATTAAGGAATAATTGGATAATAGCTATAAAAATTTTAGTAGTGGAAATATTAACCAATTTATTTTAAATTATCAAGTATATTTAAAAATAAAAAATAGCATAAAGATAAATATATAATTTATAAAAATAAGAATAAATTTTGGGTTTAGTAGGTATGTCTTAGAAGTTGAATCTGGTGTATTTATTGGGTGAACAAAAAATTTGAAAAAAATAGTTTGAAAAAAAAAAGTTTAAAATAGGGCAAAAAAAATTTTTGCTTAGTGACACTTACTTTAGTCCACCCTTAGAAGGTTGGGGGAATTTATTTCTTGTCGAATCTAGCAATATGGTTGGGGCCGTATAAAAAGCTGAATTTTGAAGAGTTGAACTACACACCACCATTACCTTTTGGGGGATAAGTGATCGGGGACTTAATTTTGTTATAAAGTTAATAATATTTTTCTAATCATCATTATATCATTCTAATATTCAATGCTCAAATCATTTTAAGTCTACTTATCATCTAGAACTCTATGAGTCATTATTAACTTTATAGCTTATTATATGAGAATTTTATATTAAAATATCTAATTCATCTCAAAAGATGAAGTCCCCACTTAACACAAATGACAGTATGGGTTTGGGTTTGGCCCACTAGTAGGTTT